CCAAGGGAAATGACCTTATTGAGGTCACAGATGCCTTGAAACTAGGTAAGATGAAGCATGTGAACATCTTTAGTTGTTGTTTGGGAGTAAGGTCTTTTCTGAGTTCCTAAAATAAGCTTAATGCTTACTCTTAAAATGGGACCAGCTTCAAAACCTTACTAATGAAAAGGAGTTTTATTTATAACACACACACACACACACACACACTTAACACACATACTTTATTATTATTAATAATCTACATTTACATAAAGTCCATTTCCGCCCGCAAATAGCAGGTGCTAGTCGAGGCAGGCTGAGATAATAGGTACAGCAGTCAGTAATAAATTACAAATAAAAAGATCAATAAATAAATAAATAGATATATATAAACGAAATAAAGCTTAAACATAAATTAAAAACATTTACAAAATCACCTACTTGAAACTCGAAAAATTAACTGCAACACTAAATTAAGATATGTATACTTTATAAATTAAACTCTGTATTTGCTCGATAGTTAGCTATTTTTTAAAGCAGAATGGGCGATTCAACATAACTGTCCTCGGCCTCTAATAACAAAAATAGCATGTCATTGATATGTTTTTTGAAAGCTCTCTTGGGGAGGTGACGAAGTTCATCGCATATTGAGTTCCAAAGCTTAGCTCCGAACCTAGCAAAAGAACCATGGTTTTGATTCAGTCTCGATCGGTTGATATAAAAATTGCAGGAGGAGGAGAACCTGGTCTCGTGATTATGCTTTTCATTAGCTTTAATGAAAAGATTACTAATGTTAGTAGGAACAGTTAGACGAGACGTCGAACATTATTGAGGAAACTGTTTCAACGTATAACATATTTAAAGGAAGGATTTTTGAGGAGGTAAATAAAGGCACCGCATGTGCTCTGGGTTCAGAAAAATACATCAACCGAAGGACACGTTTTTGTAGCACGAGGATTTTTTGTAAATGGCATTTAGCAGCTTGACCCCAAGCAGCCAAGCCATAGGATAGGTAGGGTAGTATCAAAGAGTGATAAATACTTAAGGTCTCGGTAAAGGAAAACGAGGTGCCCACAGAAAAATATTCTAGTCGCGCGAGTATTTTCGCTACAAAGGCAAGTTATATATCAAATTAAAGCTAAAAGACTAAATTACCTTATGAAAGATTTTATTTCATCGAATTTCAAAAGGCGCTTAAGTTTTTTGCTCTCGAACTCAGAGGTATCGAGTTTACTGCTGAAGCTCCAGCCCTTTCGCGTTGTTAAATATTCACTTCCTTTTTATTACATCTGATTGACAGATAAAAGACCTAAAAAAGGGTGTGAGGAAATTTGCATATGTCTCGTATTAGCGGAATTATTGCATTTCAAACTAAAAAGTCGAATCGCGAACGCGATTTACGCAAAGAAACTGGCATAAAATGAGTTACAAAGGGAAATCGGAAAAATCCTCACACCCTTTTTGAGTCTATATCATTATCCATCATATCTGAAAGTTTCAAAGCGATAGCTTAAAACCTGTCCCGACTGGAGGTCGGAGAATTTTGATTTTTGCGTCTAAAATAGAGTGAGAGAAAATCAGCTCTAAAGATTTAGCGCGAGGTCCACGCTTGGCTGGTTAGCTCAGAAAAGGCTCATTTTAGAAGGGTTAAAAAGCACTTTCTGATTTTCTTTTTCTTCCAAAATAAAATTTAGGACCCACTCATGCCAAAAATCCCAAAAAAACAAAATCGAGCAATGTACTAAAATTTTCATTTACCGAGACCTTAATAGTGTGGTAAAAGGGACGAAGTGCTGAAGACAGGCAATAACTCCAATAATTCTACCTATTTTTAGTGCTGCATTGTCAATGTGGTATTTCCAGCTCAAATGGCTATCCAGTAAGACACCCAGATATTTTACATGATCCTTACACTCAAGGGAAGTAAGAATGTGATTACTATTATCAAACATTAGAATATTGACCAAATGGTCCATCTTACGTTGGTGAGGACGAAAGTTAACAAAGGTTGATTTTTTAGCGTTTAATGTTAGCTTATTTGCATTGAGCCAATCCTAGACTCTGACCAGTTCTTTATCGACCATTTTTTCAAGAGAATTAAGATTTTTGTCGGCATTCAACAACTTTGTGTCATCTGCAAAAAGGTAAAACGAAAATTTCACTTAAGAATAAAACTTTACAACCTACTTATGGTATGGGACTCCCAGGTACACACAACACATTTCACAGTGGAAAGAAATAGCATTTTCAACATGGTGTGAGCAGGGCACAACAAAGTGCTATCTGACAATCCAGAGCCATTGAGGCTTAAATATGGGTCAAATATAAGTTGTCCTATAAGCACACCACATTTGCTTTTAGTGTGAGATTAACAGAGGGCTATAAAGTTACATGTAAACTTGCAAATTGTTTTGTTCATGTTTCAGTGGGGACACTTCTCAACAACACTTTATCACTCCATCATGGAAACTACCTGAAGTTTATTCCCTCAGTAGATCAGCTTGCTAAAACACTTTACCTTATTGTTGCTCAGCTTATTGCCAAGGCACAGTTTGAAAGGGCTCTGGATCATGCTAATGACCTATATAAATTCATCCAGATTCTTAAGGCATGGAAGAGCTATTACAGTGAAAAGATGGAGAAGGAAATTGGATCACTTTGTCTACGTTCATCTGATTTGTTACTTCAAGGAGCTGGGAAGCTTGAGGAGGCAAAAGTACCTCCGGGGGAAAGACCATCTCACTTGTGTGTTGTGTTAGACTGGAGAAAGCTCTCATTGCTTTTTCAAGCAGAAGCAAATGTACATTGTTCGCTAAAATCCTTAGTGGATAGAACTCTGAAATGTGGGACAAAATTTCAAGTGGATTGTGGGCTCAAGAATGTTGATTTTAAAACCTTAGCAAGCTTCTTTGAAACCATTTTTAGTGCACTCATGAACAAGCAAGAACAACTGATTGCAAATGGACAAGAATTTACAGTAATCTTAGCTGAACTTGGATTTCATTACGGCAGGATTTGTAATAAGGCTGGAAACTCAGTAGAAGCTTTGGCTGTGTTCGATAACCTGTTGAAAATTGCAGGAATTGAAAACCATTGCAAAAATGGGCATTTTAAACTACAAATACCTTCACAAGTTTGTTGCTGTGTGTGTTTAGTCTGCAAGGCAGCTATTTTGTTGAACTCTACTATAAAATCTCAAACTCAAGAATCTCTTCAGCAGATGTTATTCGAAAGTAACCGGCTAATCTCCCAGATCCTGAAGTGTAGCACATTACCTTCACCAATGTTAAAACTACTTTCAGACTCCCTGGAGTACTTCAGAATTAATTTGCAAAATGAAAGTAGCAAAAAGAGTAAGGAAAAATCACCCACTCTTTCATTGAAGACTCTCCAAGGAACAGTACAAGTGCTGCAGTCTTACATCTCAGTCTTATCTTTGCAGTGTGAGCGGCTTAAGTCAGAGCTGCTTAAATCCAAACATGACAATATCGTGGCACAGCTAAAACAACAGCTTCTAAAGATCACAGAACGGCAAATGACAGTATTTAGTTTTGTTATTTCTTCATATCAAGATCAGTTGAAGAATGAAAAAGGTGCAAAAAGTACAATCAGGGATTCAAGGTCAGTAGTATCACAAAACATTTAAAACAGTTAACTACAGTGTACACACTGTAGTTTAAGAAAAGGATTGTATTGTGTTTTTATTTCTCTTTGTTTGGGGGCATGTTAATAGATGAAAATGAGTGAAAAACAAAGGGAAACAGTGTGCAAAGAAAGTAGCATCTGATAGCCCAGGGCTTGTGGATTTTGCCATCAGGATAGTGAATTCTGTTCTTAACTTGCCCGATGGGCAAGTGAAGTATGTTGAGGAATTCAACTTACAGAAGAACTGTGAAATCAATTCTGCTCATCAAAAAATTTGGGGGGCTAGTTGAAATGACGTTTGGGCTAATAAATGCTAGCTTCAGCTTGCCCGAATAACAAGCTGTAAAAATGACTTTCCTTGCACCCTGGGACATACAATTTAAACCAAGGACAAATGTGAACCATAACATATAATGTGTAACACTGGTCAAACTTTTATTGCATATCCATGCAGTATCCTAAACTCTTGCCAATCAGCCTACCAATTCTTGAAACAAAATTACAAAATAATATCTCTAGAATTTGTCTTTGTGTTACACACAAATGGGGATGTACACTGTAGGCAATATCTCTGACAAGATGGCATTTTGGGGAAGATGTACCGTATGTAGTCTGGGTGTGGGAAGGTCCAAAGAGACTGAGAGAAATCTAGTAAGAATATCTATAAAGAATAGGGGAATGAACGAATGTACAGCTGTTGGTGGACGCTTACAGCCTGCACAAAGAACTACAGAGTCGAACATTTTTGGGTGTCAATCTTGAGAGAGTTTACTGTGCTGTTAATGTTAACACATTCTTTATTTACACTATGCAGATGTCAGATCTTTAAGGACTGTATTCCAGTAGTGGAACAAGCAAACTCTGTTATTCATTCTGCCCTTGATGATCCAGACATCCCATTGTCTCCAAACGAGCTCCGCTGGCTAGGCTGCAATGTGTACAATTTGGGCTGTGTGTCATATCAGAGAGATTGCTTTACTGAAGGAGTTCCTCTGTTAGCTATTGCTTGTGAAGAGCTGAGAGTATGGTGCTTTGCTAGCAAGACTGATGAGAAAATTCTTACCAGGATTGTGGAGGTAATACATTTATGGCCTTAAGCCTTGTAATTTTTCAAACATACTGTGTGGCATGAAATGTTTGCGGAAGTTTGCAATTTTTGTGTTTTGCGGGAACAAATTTTGCAATTCGGAGAGATTGTTTTTTCTTGCTGGGAATTGATTTTTGTGATTTCAGAAAGTCTCAGACCAGTCATTGTTAATATTTTCCTTTGAAGAAAGTTTCAAACAATGCTAAAGTTTGTGTATCCTACACCGTATGTTTAACCAGTGTAACAGATGACTTTTCTTTGTCATTCGATTACAGTAACATCGGGGATGACTGATTGTTCTCAGGATCGATTGGAAGAATTTAAGTTGGAAAATATTTACAGTGGAGAAATTTTTTGCAGGAAAAATGTGTGCTGGAAAAATCACAAAAATTATAACCCGCAAAAATTTTGTGCCATAAGGTAAATGATGTACCATTTTGATAAGCCCCAATAGTGATTATTACCAAATTTGTCCTTATAATACTAGTGCTCATCAATCATTGTTTTAATATTGGGTATTAAATACTTGCGATTCTTCTTCTTTTTTGCAATGTGCATAAAATGCCTCATCAATGATTTTCTCTTTTTCTGAGAAATGGAAGCAAACACTTGTGATGTTAACCCACTAGACGGGTCTCACAGTAATCTGTCCTGTCATACCATCATTAAAGTAATAGTTCTGATTTCTTTTAGGTGAAGCTCTTAACAAAATTTGCACTGCTGACTGACTGTCAGCGACGAGCCAAACAGATGGGTGGTGCACTGACAACAGCTACCACTCAGGTTTTCATGGCACTTCAAACTGATTCTGATGCAAATGTCTTGAGGCAGCAGATCAAACAATGGACCACAGTGAAACATGAACTGGTGAAAAGTATGCAAGATGAAAAGAAACAAGCTGAAAGATCAAGGTTTGTCATGAATTTTCGTTAAAAAATTACTTTTGATTAAAACAACACACGCACCACTGGTTGAGAATACATGAATATGTCATATTTTATTACAACTGCATGAATACTTCAGTGAGGTGCTCTTTTCTAAAAAGTATGAGATTCTGTTAGTCCAAATACGTCATGTGATGTCTTACCTGTGTTTCTATTTTTCTCTGTTTACCATAGAACCCTGTGCAGTGTTTTAGCAGAACAGAAAGATGCTGAGGATATTAACAGCAGTCAGCTTTGTTTAGTTCTTCAGGAAGAGCTTGCTTCTTACAAGGCAAAGAAGTAAGTTCTCAAAAAGACAGATATCACAAGGTTTCTGGACTTGTCGCAGAAACAGGGAAAGAGTTCCTCATTTTCATTGTCCATTTAGCTCTTTTATTACCATACAATATAGTATGAACAAGATCCTGGAAAGAAATAAATACAGTTAAACTGGGAAAACCATGAACACCAGAAATATTTCTGGAATGCTATTGTCTTGCAAGAGAAAAGCCAATCAGGCATGAGAAAACTAAACCGCAAGCAAGAACGTTAGTTAGTTTAATTGTGGTTTCGTGGCCAGTTCACGTGTCCTGATCTTTGCTGTGATTAGTCATAACACAATTAACATTCTTGAGATATTTCAAGTCTTCACGGTTTTCCCGGTCGCACTGTAAGCTCATGTGAAAGTACAGTGTACATACAGTGCATGTATTGCTGTCAGGACTGTCACTAAGAAATAGGGACCAGGGATTTCCGCCAGCGACTGTGAGTGTGAGCCCCAACTACTCTCATAGGAAACAAAAGTAAAATACATTATGTAGAACCAAAAGAACTTCCTAGCTGTACAATTCCCCTCCTAGTAATTACATATCAATGCTGCATTCTGATTGGTTGAGCTACTACTTGGCTTTATGTTATAGCCCACTAGTACCGAAAAGCACGGGCTATTTGGTGGCAAGAAAGGATTAAGTCTAGCTTTAACTAGCTAAAATTTTTTTATTCTCGACATTTTTGACCAACTATAGTTGGGTATTTAACAATTATTCCTCTGGCCCTCATGGCCTCTGAGTCAATAGCTCATTCGGCCTTCGGTCTCATGGGCTATTGACTCAAAGCCCATTCGGGCTCGAGGAATAATTGTTAAATACCCAACAACTTTACATGTATGCAGATCATGAGGTTCCTACAAAAGTTCTCTTTTATTTCACTTACAGTACTCAGTCTCCCAAAAATGTTTTGTCCTTTATACATGTGTATTCAATTATCATTTGAGGGGTTGATTTGAACCCAGGAGTCGCTTCATAAGTGCGTACAATAATTATGATCGTCGGGGAGAGTGTTGTCCTGAATATAATGACTGTTGCTGACTCCGACAAAAATGATTTTGGGTTATCCTTTATCCCAATTCTGTTTTGAACCACTCTGGCCAATTGATATTGTACACCTTTAAGTGGTCTATTTTTTCTCTTACTTCCAGTTATGACACCACAATGGAGCAAATTTCTGTCATCAGACAGCTTATGGAGCTGTACATTATCCAAGATGATGAGTTTCATTATGGTTCAGTGATGCTTGAGCTTGGTGTGGCACTGCATGGCCTTGGAGACAAAGATCTTGAGGAGGAGAAGTGAGTCTAAAGCTTATGTGTGTTCTGGATTAGTATGTGGCATTTTGTCTTACATTTAGGTAAATGACTTTGGAATAGCAAAAATACATTAACATCAAACATGCTCTTGTTTGATCACAGAGTGTAACTTGAGGTAAAGGTAAAGGGACATTCAGCCAGCTGTTTTGTTACAATGTCATTCAGGGTTATACGGCCCATTATGAAGCCAGTCGCTTTAGTATTATTGTAAGACTGTTTTTATAGGCAAAGACATTTTTTGAAAAGAGATTTTTCTTCACTTGAACTTTACACAGTACAGACTGAACACAAGTGACGCATTGTGGTACCCATTCCCTGTGGATTCCATGCTCTTGTGATAATTAATGATGAAGTGTCATCAGGGTTGTTGAAGGGGAGAAGGATGTTTCATGGTTCATATCTCTAATTGGGCAACACCCCAATCCCCAGCCAGCCCTCAACAATAGCCCTAAACATTGTAATATTCTTTGCTCTAGGTCTGCACTTGAGTGCTGTCAAGAAGCAGCTGCAATTCTGGAGCGGCTGGCGGACACAGCAGCTAACACAGATGAGGACAAAAATCACCTGTCACTTGTGCAGGACAGACTTGCTGCAGCATATTTATGGCAGGCATTGTTAGAGCACAAAGCAACAATGGAAGACAAACTACGAGTGGAATCACCCAAGGAGCTCAGTGAAAGTTATGACAGAGAAGAGGTACTTGTACATAATTTTTCTTTTTCTTCAGTGGGTATGTAAATCAGGCCCCAGTTGTTTAAAAGGTGGATAGTGCTATCCACTGGATAAATCACTATCCTGTGGATAGCGCAATTGCTTGTTATTGCATCTGCTGGATAGTGATTCATCCGGTGAACAGCCCTATCCAACATTTGAACAACCAGGGCCAGAAATATATGGGAATGGGCTGGGGGTGGTCAGGTGTGATAAAGTGTACCCCTTGCTCCCTTTGCTTATAGTCATATTTCCTTTTGTAATTACATAATGAACTTGTTCCTATATAATTTTACTTCTCTTTTTAGGTCGAAGGCATATGTCTGGAGCAGCCATTTATGTCATCCCTTCATTCAGCATTGGAAACGTGGACAGTGTTAGCAAATAGATCAGTGCAAGAAGGGAAAGACAGAAAGGTAGAGTTTGGGCATTATGCAGTTTGTGTTTTTTATGATTCATGTCTACTGGGTCAGAGGCAAGAAAAGAGAGCACTTCTTTTTTTCTCATCCCGTAAAACTTACTCACAGGTTAAAACATGAAAAGTTTGGAAACTTGATTAGTCTGCATAAATACTGTAGATTACATTTATTTAAGCAATATCTGTTGTTCTTTTTGCAGATTGACTTGCAACACTTTGTTAACCCTGAGGAAACTTGCCATTACCTTCTGATTATTGCTGGAATGTTTGGACTTGTCAACCAGGTAAACTGAAAGGAAATAGAAGGCTGTTTCTGGGGACTGTCTCATGGAACAATAACTGACACACGCTGTGTTAGGTTCTTTCTGCTGATGAGTTCTAAAAGAACAACAATAACAGTGTAGTATGTTAAAAAAGCAGTGCTCATCAAAAAAATCAAAACATGTTTTCAATGAAAAGACTATAATTATAAATACAAGTTAATCTCAAGATTAAATAACTTTCTAAAATTAGTTGCTGAGGATGAAAGGAATCGTATCAACATCTGAAAATCATGCATTATCTACTTCAGTGACTTGCAGCGTCCCTTGGGAAACTACTTTATATCTTAATGTGTCCTTCAGGAGTTTGAAATAATCTGGAGACAAAATATGCAATTGTGCTTCAAATAAATAAACCCTCTGGGTGCTTACAGTAGGAGAAGGATTTACGGTAAACTGTTTTCCTTGCAACCATTCATTGAGTAATTTTTAACTTTTTACAGCCATTCAAGAAGGTGTGTGCTCTTCATCTTGCTGCTACCATTGCCCAAACAATCAGCACTAACAGTATGCTGGATAATAGAATATCTGCCTGTAGTGAAGCAGTTCATACTCTGTGTGATCTACTGGACATTTCTCATGCCAGTCTTCTGCTGCATCAGACCAGTGATGTGTTGGAAACCCTTAAACCAAGTGGTTCAGTTATGGTCCAGTTTCTGTTGGCAAAGGGTCACTATCTGTTAGTCGCAGGAAAGGTGAGCTAATAGACCTTTTTACCGATACGGCGGCCATATTGAATTAATTCGATTTAAGGAGTATTATAGGATGTTCAGGGGGCATGAGCACATTTTGTTTGTATTTTTGAGCGCTTTTCGGGGCATTTTTTCGGGAATTTTTCTTAGAATAAGATTGTAATGGGAAAAAAGATCCCTGCACATGCCGTGTTTGGATGTAATAATGATCGCCTTTTTCCCGAGAAATATATAGTCAAAGACCATATTTCTAATACTAAACTAGAAAAAGGCGATCATTATTACATCCAAACATGGCACAAGGATCTTCTCTCCCATTACAATCTTATCCTAAGAAAACTTGAAGAACAAATGTCCCAAAAAGCGCTCAAGAATACAAACGAAATGTGCTCAAGCCCCCTGGCATCCTATAATACTCCTTAAATCGAATTAATTGACAATATGGCTGCTCTTTCGGTAAAAAGGTCTATTGTTCCAGAATCATTTTTTTGCTTCATTCCTTTAAGCACGAGGGATAATGAATACTTTTAAAAACTGAATCATATTGGCTTAGCCATCATGGTATATGAGCTATATACCATGCTCTCCAAATAAGGTAACTGTGCAGTTGTATACGTCTGCTCAAAATTAAAAACTAGCTGAAAATTGGTTGTTTTTACAAATAGAACCGGAAAGAATTCTCAACATTTTGTGGGCATTTTTAATAAAACAATTATTCCACTTGCGAATGTTAGATAAGAGATGATTAAAATAGAAGGACAAATTTTTAGTTTTAGTATACTATAATACAGAGCTTCTGAGTCAGTGTCTTCAGATTAACTGCCTGGTTACATAAAGGCCCAAACATTTTCAATTTAGGATTCATTGGTTCTGGACTGGGACTCATGATTTTTCACAAGATGAGTCCCAGGACTCACCATAACTATTTGTAACAAAATCCCTGTGCTCCATATAGGTACCCTGGATTTCACATGTTCAGATCATTGAGTTTCTGTCAATGTTTTCGCAGAGCACAGCCTTGGCTACCAGTCCCTGCCTCTAAGAGTGTAACCTCACATTTATCAGTATCTGAGTGACTGTTTGTTTTCCTCTAAACTAAACATAATTATCTGTTACTGTGTTTAGTACTCAGAGGGAGAGCAGTGTTTAATGGAAGTGTTACAGAGTGATGCTTTGACTCGAAGAGCTACAAGTCCCACTTACTGAAGGCCAGATTAATGTCTTTGTGTGCGAAATACTCCATGCTCCCAGCTAAACTCCACAAATTCAGCATTACTTTGGGTGAGTTGAAAACTCAATTTAATAATTTACCAGTAATATGTTGTTTTAGTATTCTAGTAATATGTACATTGTATATTCTAGTTAGACCAACATCACAATGAGCATTATGTACCAACGGTTTATTTCTCTGACAAAATCAAATCTAAAGTTTTGCATCTTATGAATCCTGGGCCAAAAGTATAGTCATGGGTAAAATTACATCACGATTTTTTTAGGTTTTATGATCTCTGCATTTCTTTGCTTGTGGATCCAAAGAAAGACCAGGATTTCCTGTAAAAATATGAGGCCAACCATCTCACCACCTCAGATTCTGCAAGTACCGCTGGAATACTCGAGAATCCATTCTTTTGAAGAAATTTATTTGGCTGAGAAAAGTAAAAAAGCATTGATAGTTCTCAAAACATATATTTGCTTTAATTTACGGTTCGGCAGTTGACAGTTTTTGATCTTGGCATCTTTGATGTCTAGCATTGGAAAAGGTGGCTGTCTGACATCCAAACCATCAACTGTCAAAGGAAATCTTTTTGAGATTTTTTAATTTCCCAACATTCCCCTAAGAAATCCAAAAATCTGAGATCACTTATCTAATTTTGGACCCCTGCATGGAAATGTACCAAACTTGTCATTGTGTGGTTACATGTAACAGAGGAACGAATAATGTCCTGAACACTGAATTTAGTAAGGTGTCCATTAAGGGAATATTGGGTACGTTGCTTTGGGATGATCAGGATCAGTGATCCGAGATCACTCCGATCATTGAAGATCAAATGAACTGATGAATCCTTGTTCAGAGTGGATTCATCAGTTCATTTGATCTACTATGATCCGAGTGATCTCAGATCACTAATCCTGATCCGGATCATCGCAAAGGAATGCACCCATTGACTCTATCATGAATGATCTTGCTCTTTTGTGAAGATCCTGTTGTTGGTTCACTTACTGCTTTGGAATGTGCTCTTGATGGATTTCACAAGTTAAGCCACATGGCTGAGGAGGTGTTTGGAGAGGATGTGTTCAGCAGTGGGCGAAAGAAGGGCAAACAGAATAAAAATGTGTCAGGTAAAAAGATGACCCTTTTCTTTTATAATATTAGCCTGCAATTATTACCTCTCAGGACATGTCACTGAATAGCTTGTCAGACATGTTTGTTTTTTGTGCCTGCTGTTCCCCTCTCTTCATTCAGCAACAGTTATTTTCCTTTCCCAAAACACTGTATTATTGAATGAGCAAAAAGTGAAGCTCTGCCTCCTACTTTGCCTTGATTTTGAGTTAAATGCTTACAAGGATATCAAACTGCAACCTACAACTTTACAGTTGGACCACCATTCGTTCACCAAAACGTAACAACAGCAAAAGAGTGCTTATGTTTAAAGACGTCTCAAACTTAAATGGATCAAGTTCTAGCTACATGATTTTTTTTCCAAGTGGAAGTGAATTTTTCCCTGTTCTTTTTCATCTTCTATTCACGTGTGTGATTTATTTGTTACAATTATGTTCATTTCTTTATCATCAACAACACTAACTTACAACACTTTCAAGTACTTTATTTTGTTTGAATTTCTACAGCCGAGGGTCCTCTTATTCTACCAAGTGTCAATCAAAGCCTTTTCCAGATGTCACTCCTGAATGAGCTTCTGTCTTCATTACTACAAGTTGGCCAGTTATATGCCCAACAGGGTGCTGTAAGAGAGGCATTCAGGCAGTTTGTAGATGGTCTAACTTTGGCAAGACACTTTGCTCTACCTTACAGGTATTCATTATAATGCTTTTCTTTAACTAGCCTCGTTTAGGATTGTAGTAGTCAGCCATAATTATCTCGCACTTTTTTGTTCATTTTCAGCAGTACTGTAATGCTATGTTAGTTCCTAGGCAGTAAAATGAATTCATTTTGTTGGTTTTTGAAAGACGTGATTTTGTTACCTCTGCATCCTGCGTCCCTGATGCATAAAAATCCCCAAAGACCAAAATAATTCATGAAATGTGTCCTGTAGGACTCAAAGAACGATCGATCGATTTGAAGATGATTTTTTGGTACAATATCCTGTTCGTGGGATTTCTGTGGCTGTTGTTTAAAGATGCATATTTATTTTAGTCTTTTTTGGTGCTTTAAATATATAGAAGGACTGAATTTTAATTTCAGTAAAATGTAATACTAAAGATGTTTGGCGTCTGTTTCCGGATTAATTGCTGGTTACATAAAGGCCAAAACATTTTTAATTTAGGACTCCTTTTTAGACTCAAGGACTCATGATTTTTCGCAAGATGAGTCCCAGAACTCACCATAACCATTTTTCATAATGTAATTGTAAGGTTGCAGCATGGAAGTAGCTAAAATGAACGCCATTGTTACCGGTGACGTCTATGTAGCAAAAGAATAATTACTGGCCATTATATCCTATTTTCATTTTGCCTGGGAGATAAACATTTTCCGCAAACTACGTAAGGGAATATAACATTGCCTCCTATATTCGACCTGATTGCATGTTGATAGAACATATAATTCTTCTCCTTTAGGATTGCAGAATTTCTCATTAACATTGCTCAGTTGGAACTCACACAAGGCAAGCGTGATAAGTGTGAAAGTCGTCTTGAGCAGCTCAGTGGACTCCTTCAACCAGTTTTGAAACCTTCCAGCCAATCCAAGCTTTCCAAAAATGAAATTCAAGAACCTCTGCTTCTTGGTCATCCAGAGACATGCGAATGTGTAAACTGTATTGATACAACATTTCACAACATACTGATTAGGTACTCTTTGAGTGTTGCCAAATATCTCGTGTATGTTTCAAGACCCGAGCAATCGGGGGAGGCTTTAGAACTGGTGCAGTCAGTGTGTTAGAGTGCTGAAAAGAAAATGGTGATGTGTGTCCAGAGACTTGGCATGATTTTATGTGGTTGTGCATGTAGTGCTCCAAGTGAAGGGATTTTGAAAGAGACAAAGAAAAAAGGCAAAGCAAAGTCTGCGAAAGGCAGAAAACAGAAAGAGGACCCAGGGTTACAAAGTTGTTCTGTTTCACAGTAAATGTTTTGTCAGTATTTTGCTTCATTCTGCTGCATTTAGTGTACCTGTTTATAAACGTTTTTGTTCCAATTCTTTATTTCTTTATTCATTTTAGACCTACAGAGCTGGATGCATTAGTTTTCGGACATCTTCATTCAGTTTCGACCAGATATCTTTTAGATAATTCTCTCAGTTCTGTCGTCAGGGCAAACAAGAACCTTGATAACTTTGTCGTGAGAATATTGAGGGAATTCTTTCAGTGAATAACCAGGAATCTGCCATTTGTTTGGCTCACAAATATTTCTCAAGGCCATTCGTACCTTAGAAAAATAAGGACAGACAAGGAAAAGTGAGACTTTTTTCTTCTGCTCTTGTAAATTCACAGGTGTCTCATAGCTCGGGTACGTTTCAATCCAAATTGCCAGGTGACTATGGGCGTATTAACTTGGTTTTTGCCGTAGACGACCACCACCTTCCGTAAGCGAGCGACCACTTTGCCGTAAAATGTAATTATTTACTTCTTATTTCAATTTTTGATAACCCCCAAATCCAATATTTTCCAGTTTTCCCAAATACACCCCCTAATTTTTCTACATTAAAAACATTCCAAAAAATCATCCAGAAATTATTGAACGACTCCAAACTAATTGAGTCATTTTTCGATTGAATGAAATCTTAGCTAGATATTTGAAAAAAGGGTTCGGGAAATAAACAAAAAACAACGCTTTTTACCAGACTCCCACCTTAAACGCTGCTCCTTATGATCAGTTGATTTCACGGAACATGTTCTGAAGAAGATATAAGCAACTATAAAACTGGTTGTTTATAGGAAGATTGTGTTGTTAAGCATATGTGGCCCTGTCAAATGAGAGCAGTGTGAGCGCGTAGCCTAAATTTCCTTCCCCTTCCCTTTCGAGCGCCTACCAAGCAGGCTATTCATCTGGGTGTGCGAAAATTGCCATCTGCCCCCCTACTCCTTCCTCTGCTATCCCGGTCGGTCCCTACGGTATGTTTTTGTATGTTGGAGGCTGTCATGATATTTCATGTGGCATACATGGAGAACTTTCTTGAGGAAGCCAGACGATGGCGACGGCGTCAGTCTGATTGCAGGGTGATTCGGGCATTGGTTTAATAGCTCAGATAGGTGCATTGTTTTTGACATTAGAGAAGAGATTACCGGAAGAACATTGAAAAGCAAACGAAAAGCTGAACTTGGAGCTGTAGCGGGGTAAGGAAACTTTTTTTAACATAACACTTTCAGTTAGAAGCATCCTCCATACCTATGCTGATCCCTCGGGCTGTTCGGCGGGTTGCTTCTGCTTTCTGTTATCACAAATAGCTGTAATGTGCTCTTTACTTACAAATAGCTCCCCACAGTTTTCTGAAATGATACATTAACCGACCTAGTTGAGGTGTTATAATTTGTGCTGAGAAATACGATCGATTCACTTCCGGCTTGGTATCAAGGTTCGTCCCCAGCGAACCACTTTCATACAGCTGTTTTACTATTAGGAATTCACAGTACAGACTGTTGCCGTATTTTGTTTCCTTGCTCTCCGTAGAAAATCTAAACCTAGAAACACATTTGAAGTTTTAAAATAATGGAAATCTGTTGGAATGATCATTTGGGGACATTTCATTCTTTATCCGCACCCCAGCCCCCTAAGAATGGGGGATTTTTGAATAGGGTAGCTCAGATTCTGCTTCAAAGAAGCCGAAATTGGACCCTTCAGGCATTTTTAAAAGGTGCAGACAAATAATGAATCCTTCAAATTTCATTTCTCAAAGGGCACCAACAAAAGGTTGAGCATTCAGATTCCAGCCATCTTTACTAGGGGGGAGGAGGGGAAGGTGCCCATAATTCACCTTCTGAACGTCAGATTTCACGTGTGGTTTCATGTTACTTTTGATGATCTTTGTTGTAAACATACCCCTAAAGTTCAGTCATCCGTTCTCTGCCACATACTGTACTTGTACGAACTTTGAGTCGCTATTTCAATGTAGCGTTACAGTCAAGGCAGGTCAAGCGTACCCCCCCAAGATTCTATGAATGAATTAAATATTTGAAAAATGAATCCATTAATCGTTCCTGTAACTATTGTCAAATTCAAATTGGCATTCCTGCATGCGCAATGAGCAGCGAATATTTTACGAGAACTTCCCTGTATTTGGTCAGATTGAAAATCTTTGAATGGATTAAATTTGTTAGAAGACATTTACATCAAATTCAGGGAAACTGAGCTGGTAGAAATTTCGTAACTGAATTGCATGTGAATTCACAGCTAATTACACACGCAAGAATGCAGAGATGAAACTGAAATCTACAACTACCAACGGATTCAACTTTCAAATAATAAACTAATTAATGGGATTTTGGGGGGTACGCTTGACCTGGTTTGACTGTAATTTATAAATTTCATTTCCCTTTTGCTGTTTGAAACTCGGATAGTTTAAGGTTCAAAAATGTCTTAGTAGAAGAATAAGATCGATTTTAAGGCCAAGAGTATGGCAGAACTGCAGGAACAAGGACCTCTGCAGTGCTTGTAGTTGAAGCAGCTGAAATTGTTTTAACATTGGAGCTAAACTTTAAAAGAGGTAAAACCGGTGATGAAGGTAAATTTCACAATACATACATATTTCAAAATTCATGATCGCACGCTTTTAATTTCCAATCCATTTTCACTATAAAGACAGTTTGGCCATGGGTTGTTTGACATTATATTTTCAACTGTATATATATTACGGCAAAGAGGGACTCAACACTTTTGATGACACTTATGTTGATTATTTATGACTGCTAAGTTGAATCAAGAGGCTGTTCACATATCTGTAGCAAAAAAGTGCAGATTTCTGTGAAAATGTACTGGCTTTGTATTTAATTGTGGAGAGACAAATGGAGGCAGTGTACTTCAGGCAAGATAAGCATAAGCTTATATTAAAGTGTATAAAAGGCAGTCGAGATAAAAATGTAAGCACATGCAGTATCATGAATTATAAGTGTGTCTGCATCATAAGTTTCATTTTTTCCAAGTTTAGATCCACCACGCAAAACCATTCTTTCAACTGCAGAGGAGATTTCCATGCGCTTGTTGAAACTATATGTTTTGGAATTAATCCCAGCGAATATTTTTTCTGTCTCAGAAGGTGAATTTATAAACAGACCCTTGAAAATAGAGAATCATGTAACCAGAATCAGGAGTGAAATTTCCTGTTTTTGAGCATTGGACCTGTTCTGTTGTTTTTGCAACAGGTCTTGTCATTGAAACTTTGTTCCCTATATTTGATATACAGAAAGAAGTTCTTTTCTTGTCTTGGGTCAAAGACTGTTTTCCTGTAATGTTTTAAAAAAACTAGTCATATCTGAACCTTCAGACATATATGTACAAGGGGGGGGCTACCATTCTCCCCTAAGGTTTTTCACATTTTTTCCTTGACAATAAAACATCAACATCCCTTGTGCCATTTTGAGACAAGTTTAGTGATGGTCAGTTACTATGGTTATGAGATATGATGTCATATGTAGCAGGTGGTCAAGCCATTTTTGAGTGAAGTGCATGTTTTCAAACTTTTTTTCAACACTAAAAGTAGAATTTGTGGATAGAATGATGCAAAGTAAATATTTATGTGTTATTTTACAAGTTAAGCGCTAAAAAAATATTATTCTCCCTTTTTTTTAACCTGATTTCTAATTCTTGATAAAACCCAATCTGGTGGCCAAGATGGCAACCTTGTTTTGAGATGTCACAGAAATCCAGCAGTGCCACCCCCCACAAAATATACCTCATTGTGTAGAGAAGATCAAAGGCTTTACAGTGAAGGCAAAATTCTTTTGAGACACTGCAACATATCAAAAACTACATTGCAAAGGCGGGGGGGTCCATCAACCCACCCCCCCCCCCTTGTACCACAGTGGGGGTCTTTGTGTATGTCCGAGGGTTATGCAGTGGCCCAATGGACACCGTCAGGCTGACAATGATTGAGCAAAATTATATGGTATTTTGCAAATGTTAGAGTCCTCACATGTCCAAAGCAATGGAGCTAAGAACCAAAATTTGGTTTTTTGACTGAACTGGGATTCGGCTAAAAACTTTAAACAGAAAACTTTAGAATACCTGACTACTGTTTTGTATCATCTGTATAATAACATAGTGCCCATAATGTTATGCCTCATAATTCCGAAGTTGAGTTGAAGTATCGTACCACCAAAATCGTACAAGCCATATAATTATTACACTATCCAAAACAATAGCAGTGGACAGAAAAGGGTGAAATAAAACTGAGAATCACAGTAGCTATACAAAGCATGCATAATACTATTGCATAAAACTGACATTTAATTTAGCAGCCAATAAGTTTACAAAATTCTGGTACTCGGATACATACCTACATGTACCTTAACCTATGGTGGCTGAAAACTGTGTATTGAAAATCTGAATTTTGGAGGTTATTCCTTTGTCTCTTTTTTCCAGTTTATTTATATTTTTTTGATTTTATATTATAAGAAAAGTGAAAGTAAAAACAATAGAGCCCCCCCTAAACGAAATGAAACCCAGAAATTAAAAACTAAATTAAAACAAAATAGATTTTAATGCAGTTGAGTACTGCTACTACCAGCACGCATTTCTGGACTATTACACAGAAGCTCCACTAATAATGGAGACACATGATGCAGTTTCACTTTTATCTGATTAAAATATTCCATATTTCAACCCTGCGTTTACATCATTCCATTTATTTTTTAGTATTGCATGAAAGAAAAATTGAAAATGAAATATTTTATTAAGATTTTAAAAGCTTCGCGTGACTAATCTCGCGTGACTTATTCTACAAAACCAATTGACGTCATATGGTGGCTGTCGCTCTTGGTGAATTGAGCGAAAGGACAGCAATACAAGACTTCCTTCTTTCATTTACCTTTGCTAAATTACTGTGTGTGTCTTTTGGCCATGGATAAAGGTTAGTCTTGTGTGATTTTAAATTCTTAAACACTTGGTAACTTTAAACAAGTCATGAGAGCGAGCATTTGAACTCACAATTCACAAGTCGTATTTTAATACTTTAAAAAGTTTATTGTTTATCCTCTCGTCCGTCAGTATGAATTTCCGCGCGGAGCCAGTTGGATATTGTCAGGGGCACCCAACGAGAACATAGTTCAAAACCACTTAAACATAGCATTGTTGAACGTATTTTAGTATTTAAACGGTAGATATAGGCATATTTTTATCCCCTAGAAACTTTTCATCTGTTCGGATTTCCTAGCTAAAGTCTAGTGATCCGAAAATTATAGGGATCAAAACTGACCTTTTCGAAAATTTCAGCCAGAAAAAAGGCTCCCGAAAATTCTAGGTGACCTTTTTAGGGTAAAAATCCGTTAAAAATTGACAATAATACCATTTTTAATATGTTCGAAAATCCTAGGAGAGGCAGGCAAGCAAGAAATTTAACAACAAATGTCCCGAAAATTCTAGATCTCAAATCATCTTCCGAACAGATATTTTCCAAAAATTGTCGTTGGGTGCCCCTGTAGTGTGTATCTGCCGCACGTTTCCTTTTTTCGTTTTAACTGAGCTATACTAATAGTTTCAAGATATGAAATTAAATGAGGTCCTTGTGTACGTTTGTTCGTTTCGGGTGTCTGATATTCAAATCGCCATCGCGGTATTTACATACCCAGGACTAGAATTCTGGCCTGGCAATCAGAGAATCGTACTGGTTTTCTTCGAAACTAACGCCTTGCTCTAACCTGCTGAAAGCATTTCCTTAGAATTACCAGCCGAATAGGAAAACGTTAGCTGCATTTGCAGTTGACTGAGTATAGCTGAGTGTCGTTTTGCTTGCTTGAGCATAGAAATCGCCGTTAATTAGTCCGCTCCCGTGTGACTCTGTCTGCAACGTATTCTCAGGAAGGCGGCGGAATCCTTTATGGGTTCGACACCTAGGCTTATACATCTTTGTAAGTAGGTTTGGGTGAGGGCTTATAAACGGAGGGACTTATATCCGAGGGGCCCGATAACCGGAATAGAAAAAACGCTTCGAAACAAATATGCACAGAGGAACCTCGATTTAACGAACTGCTATATAACGAAGTCCTCGGCATAACGAACTATTTTCTTCAGCCAAAATTACAATAAAATGTATGCAACAGAACCTCGATTTAACGACATCCTCTTTATAACGAACGCAATCCACAAGCGCAAAGTTAAAATGTACCTCGATATAACGAATAAATGTCAGCATGTGATAAAGGATGAATGCCAAACAGACCAACAAGGATAAAATTTATGTGTACAGTAGTTTTAAGCAGTTTCGTTTGCCTGTTCTTGAGTTTCTAGTGCTGTAGCTATGCAGCCGTTTTTCGTGTCGTCACGCAACGCGTGACGACTCTAAAAACGGCTGTGTAGCAGACTATACACGCTTTTAATAAGTCGGGGCGCCATCTTGAATTTTCAATTTATGACGTCATTCGCGGAAAGACTTCAGCCGCCATCTTTGAGGTTTGACTGGCGTGACAGTACCATGTCAGGACGAGAGGCAAAGTCAGGCCATTATCAATCGCTTTATTCCATTCTTTCCCTGTATAAACATTAACAAATACCAGCAAATCCTTTTCCCAGGGTAAAGTAATCGCAGTTGTGCGGTTCGTCTTTGTAAGTCATACGGGGATATAATGTTCGAAAACAAACGCAACATTAAGAAATGTGACGTTAGATTCCAAGTGATCAGCATGTATTTAAGAGGCAGTCTCCCTAAAAGCGGTCCACTCGATTTCGCGACAAAAAATACTTTTCCTTTATTTTTTGTCGGTGAAGAGGCTTTAGTAGGTGTATACTAAAATCGCTATTTTTGTTTGCAAATTCTTATTCTTAGCTCTACTACAAGCCAAAAACGAATTGAGTCCGTCCCGGCTTCTCAGAGAGTGTTTCGAAGACTAAAATTGATGGATTTTGAAAAGCGCGTTGCAAACAAACGAATGCCCGCACAAAAAATCTGTTCGATTCAGTTTTTCAAGTTAACCTTCGATAGTTCACAGGCTAAATAAAAATATCTTTGATCAAAACATGTTCAAGTTACAGTGGTTTAAAGAATACCTATTTTGCAGGCTTAATCCAAACCCTGAAAGTAAGGAAGATTTGAGGGAAAATATCTCAAAAGTTTGCGGCCTAAATCTGGTTTAAAAATCATATCAAAGTAAAGTTTTAAGCTTATTTTTTTGGTTTATAGGCTCAGACTTGCAGGTATCTTCTGGGATTGCAACCAACAGTAGATTATAATCTGCCATTTTGGGTATTTGCATAATTACTGGCCGTGTCAGATGTCATGATTGTACAGGGTAAAAGTTCCATGAAATTGCCTCTTTTCACACTTGAATTCGTCTCCGGCCTCTAAAAGAAAGTAATTAAGCTTCTTTAAGTACTTTTGAATCGAAAGAGATATACTAACAGGGATGGTCATGCATGTTACTGATAACCACGATCAACTGGCGGGCGCCGTCGTCTTGTAACTACCTGCACTGAACAGTAAACAATGTTTTTAATAGAATTCTCGAGATCAGAAGTTGATCCAAGCGCTCTAAGTAATGAAAATAAATATCACTACCCCGGGATAAAAAACATGTACAAGAAAGGCAACGTAGAATTTTAAGTTCTTTCCGCAATTTCAGAGTGAATTTCACCGCGGTGCATAAAGGTTCATAAATTATAGTAATAATCAGGCTGTTTAAAAACGTTTGACGCACAACAAAAACAATTAGTCCTTTACCGTCTTATCTGTTCTCGGTAAATAAGACGCTTACCTTTACTTTAGATTCTTGATGGAAGAATTCTATCCAGGCAGCTGAAGTTATGCAGTTTCGTTAATTTTCAAAATGAAATCATAGCGTGATAGTGTCACGTAATGTTATGGTCACGTGGCTACGTAACCCGTCGGCGGCCAAAATCTTTGTGACAAACGAAATTTCTGTTTCTCTCCAGACAAAAAAAGCCCTAATTGAATGAGTTTTTCCTCCTTAAATTGCACAAAATGCGTATCACACCAAGGAATTTGTATTGGTAAAGTTTTTTTTTTATTTTTTATTTTTTATCGCGCGACCCGATGAGGAGGGGCAGGCAACCTCTCCCTTCGAATCACTTTTTGACTCCCCCCCCCAACTCTCGGTCTATCGAATGTTCAAATCGATCGCACAGCAAAATACGCCTTGCAAGCTATATTAATCCCTTCCTTTAAAACGTTTTCAAAAATCACGTTAGCATGCCAACAAGGTGTAAGGTTGGCTTTAGGTGCATTTTTTGAACCCTCTTTTATCCGTTCATTTCATCTTATATATATATGGTACATTTCTAACATTGAGGAACAGTATAAAGGATTAGAGAGGTGACCTACCAACCCTTTTGCCCCAACCTGCCAGTTCGCTAATTGTAATTGTTGCACATGAGAATTCATTTCTCGGACTTGGCAAAACATAATTTTTAGGGCAAAATTTGATTCCTGTTTTTCAAGTTTGTTGCTTAAAGAAGTGAAATCGCACAATTGAGATTAGGAACCTGGTAGGGTGGCCTGTGCTACCTGGTCTCTAATCCCTTATGCTGTCAACTTAGAAGTCCCATATAAGAGGCCAAAATAGGTAGTACGACAAAAACGTTTCCAAAGAACGGATGTAATTATAATAGTCTTTAAAAATGCACCTACAGGGAGTCTTGTAGTTTCCATGTAGAGTATTTAATGTGACGTCTTGTTGACATACGGGTTACGCGATTTTGACGTTCTAAAGGAGAGAGGTCTGGCCGGGGTTTTGGGTTTTCAGGTATCTGGGCTCAATTTTGTTCAGGTTTACGGAATTTCAGTGCCACGATAAGGATATAAATTATCTTTTTTTTTCTAAACTTTTGATATTAAGACAGAATTTTTTATGTAAATATACGTTGTCACACTGATCAAAATATGCTGACCAAAAAGTTCGCATGGGCTGGCAAAAGAGGGAATCTGCCGGATTAGACTTGCATGACCGAACTGCAGTGAACCGAAAGTTATACAGTTCATCTGGGTGTGTTGTTTTACAGCAAACTGTCTCATAATCCCGATTTCTTCCAAATTGCACCAATATTGCTTGATGAAGCGTGTATGAAGTACCGTTCTTCCAGTTCAAGTGGCTTTCTGTGTGTCAAAATATCGAAGAATATATTCCAGTACTTGTTGTAGGATCTGATGGGCCACCTAAGCCCAAGAAAAATTAAGAAGTGCCACTGTCAATTTCCATCTACGTCCCAAACTTTTTCTTGATGAAGCTTAATGCTAAAAAGGGTAAAGAGCCACGGTTGTGTTTCATAAAGCGACCCTCAGCTACCCCCTTTACGAATTGATCAACAAGTACTCAAAACAGTTCGTTCGCACAAGGTTCGAGGCAGCGGGGGAGGGGAGGTATCTCCCAGGAAATTGGTGCAGTGGACCTGTGGCTATCTGCATCGCTGTCTTACGTTCCGTCCTAGAGTACAATGTTTCGTGGCTTGATATAACGCCCTTCCTGCCCATCTGCCTTTAATAATATGCGAGCTTTAAGGATAATATACCTCCGGAAGCTTTACAATTTGCTAGAGTCGTTAGAGTTGAGGACAGGCGCAGTGGGCTCTGTATGAGCACTGTATTGTCACCTGTGATTAAAGATCATTTATCTATATATTTTATTTGTTTATTTAATATTTAATATTCACAGTATTCTTCAGTCGATTTAACCACATCTTTTACTTAAATTGTTCTCTCAGAACACGTAGCCTTTCTTGCGTCCACTACTTCCAAGGGCCTGCTACGCAGGCTAAGAACACTATAGAAATCAGGGCGTCTCTGGGGAAGCATGCCGCCTTATCCCGCCCGTAGCGACTCGCTCCTTGTCCTTGGACGCTAATACTAGATTCTGGGATAAATAAAAAAGGTTGGACGGCCTGTCTCAGTCGGGAAATACCTTATTTAGGTATATAGTATTCTTTTTCAAGGTAATTTCAGGCATTCGGTATCAAAAGTTTTACAAATCTTTAGCTCTATTGGTATCTTATGTGGACAAAAGCGGGTATATTGGTATCCCACGTCCCCCACCCTCACCCTCTCTATGCGCGCCGGGCCTGAAAATATGGAAGGGCGGAGTCCATGCCGTGAAAATAATGATTCATTACCAATACAAATTCCTTTGTGAGATACGTTTTTTGTGCAATTTAAGGAGGAAAAACTCATTCAAATAGGGCTTTTTATCACAAAGATTTTGGCCGCCGACGGGTTACGTAGCCACGTGACCATAACATTACGTGACACTATCACGCTATGATTTCATTTTGAAAATTAACGAAACTGCATAACTTCAGCTGCCTGGATAGAATTCTTCCATCAAGAATCTAAAGTAAAGGTAAGCGTCTTATTTACCGAGAACAGATAAGACGGTAGAGGACTAATTGTTTTTGTTGTGCGTCAAACGTTTTTAAACAGCCTGATTATTACTATAATTTATGAACTTTTATGCACCGCAGTGAAATTCACTCTGAAATTGCGGAAAGAACTTAAAATTCTACGTTGCCTTTCTTGTACATGTTTTGTATCCCGGGGTAGTGATATTTATTTTCATTACTTAGAGCGCTTGGATTAACTTCTGATCTCGAGAATTCTATTAAAAACATTGTTTACTGTTCAGTGCAGGTAGTTACAAGACGACGGCGCCCGCCAGTTGATCGTGGTTATCAGTAACATGCATGACCATCCCTGTTAGTATATCTCTTTCGATTCAAAAGTACTTAAAGCAGCTTAATTACTTTCTTTTTGAGGCCGGAGACGAATTCAAGTGTGAAAAGAGGCAATTTCATGGAACTTTTACCCTGTACAATCATGACATCTGACACGGCCAGTAATTATGCAAATACGCAAAATGGCAGATTATAATCTACTGTTGGTTGCAATCCCAGAAGATACCCGCAAGTCTGAGCCTATAAACCAAAAAAATAAGCTTAAAACTTTACTTTGATATGATTTTTAAACCAGATTTAGGCCGCAACTTTTGAGATATTTTCCCTCAAATCTTCCTTACTTTCAGGATTTGGATTAAGCCTGCAAAATAGGTATTCTTTGAACCACTGTAACTTGAACATGTTTTGATCAAAGATATTTTTATTTAGCCTGTGAACTATCGAAGGTTAACTTGAAAAACTGAATCGAACAGATTTTTTGTGCGGGCATTCGGTTGTTTGCAACGCGCTTTTCAAAATCCATCAATTTTAGTCTTCGAAACACTCTCTGAGAAGCCGGGACGGACTCAATTCGTTTTTGGCTTGTAGTAGAGCTAAGAATAAGAATTTGCAAACAAAAATAGCGATTTTAGTATACACCTACTAAAGCCTCTTCACCGACAAAAAATAAAGGAAAAGTATTTTTTGTCGCGAAATCGAGTAGACCGCTTTTAGGGAGACTGCCTCTTAAAGCTAGCACGGCTGCAGCGAATAAAAAGGGACGACTACTCGACTGTAAAGGTGTGTAACTTAGTCTTTTTGTGTGTGGGTTCTAATTCGTACCGCTATATTCATCACTCAAATATTGCTTTTTTTGCTAGGGGCAGAAACAAACAATCGTCTTTTCTTTTCATTTTGGGGATGATGACTTCGGAAGTTTCTGTGGTCGGTAGCTTTTGAAAAGGTGAAGCCTCCCCTCGATGGGTGTTTAAATGCCCTGTACACAAGCCATCCCTTATCCCTAAGATCCAAAATACGATAAAGTTGAACAGGAATCTGATTCGAGGGAAACCAAATATGGTAAACACCACAGGAGTGTGGAGTGTTTTTTTTTTTTGCAAATGATGCAGAGCGATACAGCTTACACGAATCCAACGCTGAAATTTCTGAACTAGAATCTGAAATTTTAGCCCTGAAGGTAGAAGGTAAAAAAACTGCTAAATATCAAGTGAAACGTAACCAGTCTATGTTTAAGAATATTGAAAACAGCACCACTTTAATCCGGCCCAACCCAAATGACCCTGAAAAAGGTGGACCCTTTTGAGCTCAAGTTTATTATTAACTATGCGACAATAATTCCTTGGATCAGAACATGCCTTCTCAGGTGTCAAGTTTCATAATGTAAAAGGGCATTTCATTTCTAATAAACAATGACTTGATATTTATTATCTATCACCCTTTTGTTTGGTGAGCAGCCAACCATGACATTGTGCTTGATATGACAACACCACACTCTAAGCCCTGAATATGAATGTATATGTACATATTATAGATATACATGCTAAACCAATATTTTTCATGTACTCAGCATATTCAGTTGCTGCTTAAGATCAATTCGCCATTCAATATTATTAGAAACATCATTCTGTGACACTAGAGTATTTTGAACAAGCCTTGTTTGCAGTGAGAGATGTTGAGTTTCCATTCTCAAACAAGTGCCAATTACAGCTAGTTGACTTGAACATATTACTTTGAAACGAAAACGTATCTTTGCTCTGACCTTTTGATTCTCAATTAAGGATGGATTAGGAATTTTTAAACAACTTATAAATTGTTCCTCCTGAAAAAAGGGCATTTGCAATCCCACTCAAGCTGGTGTGTCAGTGTCAATTGGGAATTCAGGAAAGAAGCCATCAACTCTAGGTCTTGGCAAATTGGAATAGTTGTCATAACACTGAAGTTTGCCTCCATTAGAGAGAGATATTTACCTCACTACCCGTGGAACCTTGTGTCCAGTTAATTTACTTGAAACTATTGCAGGACAGTTAAATGTCTTAAGTGAATGAAAGAACTAATTTGCCCTCTCTTTATTTTGGACAGTATGTTGCCTGGCTGTATACAAGGGACACCTTAAAACCCTCATTTCTCCCTGTAATAAGGATTGATGACATCGTATGCCTTGTATGCATTATATGAACTAGGGTTCGTACCCTAGGTCCTTGGTTTGTGCTACTTTTTTGAGTTGTGCACATTCCAGTTCTTGGGAATTCGGTGTATTCAAAGACTTATACAATAAGAACATGCCATTACAGTAACCATTTCCTCCTCAAGACCATTTATCACAACTGTTAACATTGTGAGGCCATTCATTCTTCCTCAGTGATTTAAAGCACTCCCCCCTACATGAATTTATTGTCCATATGAGCCTATAATAATCGTCGTGACAATAATTTTCAAATAAAAATTTGTATCCCTTTTCGAGGGTGGTTTTTGATTTTTTCGTTGCTTGTTCAAGCATGTAAATGTTAGTAATTGTGCTTTGGAAGAATTGATGCCTCCCTGCTCCAGCTCTCATTAGTGGCTACATCTCTAACCAGGATTCGAGCTGATAGCTTTCTGGATTACTGAGCTACGCCTTCCCACAGTGAAGAACTATTCGGCGCAAGGGTCGACTAGAGTATAAACGTTTTTATCCAACTTCTTTCTTTCCCTAAAACCCATACATAATAACATAAAAAACTGATGATGAAAAGCATAAATTTTTTATCGCCATAGAATTATCGTACATTTTGAAAGGATCAGAACAGCAACATGAAAAATCCTTTCAATTAGCTTTTATAAATACCTGATACATAATCTCCTACGAGCGGTAATAATTAACCGTTTTCAACTTTTTTAATAAAGGCCCGCAGAAAAGAAAAAGTATCAAAACCATTGCTAAAAAAGATTACCTGGGAAGAAGCTAAGCTCGTGTCTGTTGACGTAAGCCACGACGATTAAGCCAAAACTTTAATTCGCATTTTTTTTGGCATTTACATCAGCTCTCGTTTGTCCTCGATATCATCGATCCAGGAATATCTTTGCACGAAAGTTTTAAAGTTACGATAACATACCCATTTTAAAGACATTGTACAAAGAAAATATTCCTCTTGATATAAAGTAAAAACATTCCTTTTTATATGAACCCACTGCAAAATCAACGTGATCAGAGCTTTCATCTTTGGTAGCCATTTTGCCCACGTGTATGATCTTTCCGCGAATGACGTCATTCTTTAAAAAATTCAAGATGGCCCCCAGACTTAATAAAAGCGGGTATAGCTATGTACAGCTCGCTACTGAAATGTTATTACAGTAATTTTGAGATCTATCCGGAAATGCTGGGTTTTGTAAATTAATTAATAACTATACCACGATATAACGAACATTTTGGTGGTTTTCCCGAAAATTCGTTAAATGTCCCCAGTCCCTTGGCACTTCGTGAAATCGAGGTTCCACTGTATTGCGTTTAAAAGGTCATAATAAGGAAAGTTAGAAGTGGGGCCTTATATCCGGAGGGGTACTTACAATCGGATGTATGTTTCGATTATAAGAAGCGGGGCCTATACCTGGGGGGGGGGGGGGGGCTTATAAGCGGCAGTTTATGTTATGATCTTTTCGTAGAAAAGTTGGCAAGAGGTTCGGTTCGTCTTTTACGACCGTTATTCAATTGGTTTTACCTATAAAATTAAGAAATGTTTTAAACTAACGTCATGAAATAATTTATTTTTCCAGAAAAAGTTTTTTTTGACCACAACTGCAAAGACCACTCATAGCTAACCTTCACGTTCTTTTAAATGCTTCCACGCCAAAAAGACACCAAGAATCCATACTCTTTTAGGAGTGAGAGGGTTTCAATCACTAGCATCCAATTGTGAATCACTTGGATATGTGATAAAGAAATTGGTAAAAAAACAGCAATTCTGGTACATTTTGTCTTTCGTATGACTTTAAGTTACGTAATCTGTTTCAGTGCAATGTAAAGTTATCAGCTAGAAAAGATAGTCTGGTAGTTTTTATCTCATTTATTTCAGTTCTTTCACAAAGCAAACACTCCAAAACAGAAAAGCACGACAAAGCCCTCGTATGTTGATGTTAACGAAAACTAGCTGGCAGCTATGAATTAGTTTTACTTCTGGTTTTTATGCTAGATTCTTAAGGAAAACAAACACACACACACATACACACGCTTATCTGAGTTTCAGGCCTTAATAAGAGGTAAGGGGAATTTTAGGTTGCTGAACACAGTTTTGCGGGCGGTCAGCGGTAGCGTGTGTTTTAAATTAGACAAACAAACATGGCGGCGAAAAAAGCAATGGTACACAGAACACGATTTCTCGAAATCTACTCATTAAAATTTTGTGATATTTGGCAGAATTTTTACTTTTATCATATTTTTAATTATGAGAACTTTAAAATGGAGTTGAACAGACGAATTTTGTGTCACATTTAATGATTACAGTACAATTATTGATTATCTAAAAACCCATCTGTTAAAATTTGGTCAAATAAGTTTCAAATGGTAATGATTAATTGTAGTAAGCTGTGTGCAAGTTTATAGGAAAATCTAATGAGCGAAGTTTATGTAAATTGAGTAAAGGTGAAATTTTAAGGTTGTATTCGATCGTTCATGTTGCCATGGAAAATAGGAAAACGTCAAATTCTACCTGTCAGTCAAAATCCTTCATCAGTATATTTTTCACTTGCCAAGTTTCAGCTTGTGAGCTGCAACCTTTCTCTTGCCATGATTTGGCAAATGACCTATGCTCCCAAACTGCCAAAACTGTGTTCAGCCACCTTAAGACGAAAAAGTGGGGCGAGAAAAGAGGGAGAAAGGCCTGACACACAAAGGCATTCTTCTTCCCTTCACTACCTCCCCTTCCCTCTAGAAAAGCCTAGGCTAGTAAAAAGCATCAGCGGTTAGAAAATTCATTTTCTGGTCATTTGATCTGCTACTTTTAATGTTCTAGAAAGTTGTTTAGACCGATAGAAGTCAATCGGTACCACCCAGTGCAGGGGCGTAGCCAGCATTCTTGCATAGACGGGTTCCCAATGTGGTATTTTTGTCTAGATTGACAATCGATCTTCGGAGGGTTTCCCGGAAAATGTTAATACTTTATGTCCTCAGAAATTCCGTTTTGTGATTCTGAGCACAAATTTCCAATAGCAATGCCAAATGAAGTTAGCTTCTTTATAGTGTGATAGACTTTATAATTTTTATGTTGTAGATCGTAATTTTTTTTATCTCAGGTAATTTTTGTTTTTCTTTTGTTTTTGGGTATAGAAATGTATACTAATGCAGTTGAAACAAAAGAAAAATAAAAATTACCTGCGACAAAAAATTAACTACAACATATATGTTGATAATCGTTGAATACATCAAACCACACACTGTAGTCCTGTGATTTGCCGTTTATTCAGTTAGCGTATTAAATAGCAAGAAGGAGACATCATGGATGCTTCCTTGCAAAGGTGTCGATTGTTGGACTTAGGGCCAATTTGCGTAATGCAATGCTCATCAGAGCAAGTGCAGCGAACTCTCGCTTCAGTCACGGTCGCCGCCAAGTACTGCTAAGCCATCGCTCACGTTCTTCTTATGTAATTTGTGATAACGTACTTGAAATACGCAGCAACTTGAAGTTTGGAAAGAGTTCATGGCCAAGCCGTCAACTGCATCACTAGAAAGGTCTTTTTTCACGTTGAGCCACTTGCACTGCCAAAGGAAAAACCGCCACATGAAAATTAGAGCCGATGGTATCCTAATAGACATCGATGTCTCGCTTTCGGAGCCTGATACTGAGTAGCTTCTGTGTGAGGAAAAGGCACTGCATAAAAAAGACTACTGCAAAGACTGATCAAACCTCGTATGTAACATGTAACCCTTGAGATAGAATGTGATGCTTTTTATTTTTTCTTCTTCTCATTTTCTTCAACATGTAAAATCTCATTCCTCTTGAATTATAGCCAGTGCCGCAGCCCAAGCGGGGGAGGGGAGGGGGGGGGGTATCCGGAACCCCTGGAACTCTCCCCTGGCCACGCCACTGCAGTGAAACGTTTTTCCGTTTTCCCAGTAGTAGCTGTAATTGATTCTCTCTTTTTCTATTGTAGTAGTTGTAATGGAGTCTTTACTATTAATTCTTTTTAGATGTTAGACGACTTTGAAGTTTGAGTATGGCATCTGTTTTACAGAAGGCTCAAACGCATGATGACCGAGTGCATGGATCTCGAAAAGTGAAAGTCACTATTTTGGCATCTGAATGGAGATCAAGTAATGGGGGACTTTCCACCATAAACAGAGAATTAGCCATTCAGTTAGCAAGGTTCCCTGAGGTGGAAATCACTTTCTTTTTACCAAAATGCAGTCAAGAGGACAAAAACGTAGCCCTTGATCACAAAGTAAAGATCGTAGAGGCAGCTCCACTGTCTTGTTTTGAAGAGCTTGATTGGCTTTGCTATCCACCAGACGATTTGGAAATCGACATTGTTGTTGGTCATGGAATTAGGCTCGGTAAACAAGCGCAGGTCATTAAGAAATCTAAAACGTGCAAATGGGTTCAAGTGGTGCACAAAGACCCTGAGGAACTTAAGATGTTTGAAAGCTATTTTAGCCCAAATTCAAAGGGTGAAGAAAAGCACAAGAACGAAGTAGAACTGTGTGAAATGGCTGATCATGTTGTAGGAGTTGGACCCAAGTTGAGCGAGTCCTTTCGCTCATATCTTTCTGGTTGTGATAAAGATGGTAATGTCTTTGACCTCACTCCTGGAGTGTTTGAAGAGTTAAAGACTGTAAAGCAAGTCAGTCATAGCGATAGGCAACAACGCAGAGTCTTGGTGTTTGGTCATGGAGACGTAGAAGATTTTAAATTAAAGGGATTTGACATCGCTGGTAAAGCAATTGCTGCGTTAGAAGATACTCGTCTTGTGTTTGTTGGGGCACCGGATGGAAAACACGAAGAAATAAGGAAGCGGTTAATCGAGTGTGGTGTTCCTGCAAGTCGATTGAAAATAAAAGGATTTGTTCAAGACCGAGAGGGTTTAAAGCGATTATTCAAACAAGTGGATCTTGCAGTCATGCCTTCAAGAACAGAGGGCTTTGGTTTAACAGGACTCGAGGCAATGTCAGCTGGTCTTCCAGTGCTCGTCAGCGGCAACTCTGGTTTTGGAGAAGCACTGTGCAGTGTAGCCTTTGGTTCATCATTTGTGATTAAGTCAGAGGACCCCGCAGTTTGGACCGCAGCCATCCAGAAGATCTGGTCCAAGGACAGGAAATGTCGACTTGAGGAAGCGGTGTCCTTGCGCGGTAATTATGGCAGGAAATACAACTGGGCCAAACAGATAAAAGAGTTAGTTGACAGGATGGTCAGCCTGACGCATGGTAGGAATGTCAATTACATTTTCTTCAGTGGCAAAAAATGTAAGGAAACAATACAGAGAAAAATGAAAAGAAGGAAAAATAGGATCGCTTACAAGTTTTGCCCTGAAGTGTTGATAAAAATGTTCACCGATACCTATCTGAACCTTATGCTGATAACAGCAAAACTGTAATATTTGTAATTTCTTCAGGTATATTGTTTCACGTTAGCGGAATAGTCTGTGAAAAGTGGTCGGTCATACCCCTCGGTCATAGTCTTAATTTGCATTACATGTACTTCACATATTGGATTGTAGTTATACACACATACTCCCTGCAATAGCATGTTTTCTCCATTTATTTGCAGCAAATTTCCGCGCAACAAATGTTCGCCCCAGGGAGGAATGGGCACACCTGGAATGGACTAAGCCTTAAGTTTCAAAGAGATTATTATCGTAACCCAAGCTTATTTTTGCAGAGCCTTCTATGGAAATTGAAAACAACCAAAACAGAAACTGTTACGACGACGAGCAGCTTGTTTCAGAAACGTCCCTTAGTAGTGACTGTGAAATGAAAGCTGATACTGCAGCAGGAAATCCGACTGAAATATCCACACATACAGACTGTCAGTCTCAAAATAGCCGTAAGCGTAAAATGTCAGAATTACCTTGTAATCCAGGTATGCAAAAACATGAGTTGTTTTTCTTGATATTGCTCATTAGTACACTTCTGTATCTAAAGGGGGGAAGTGATTGTTAGATTATTCAAAGGAACTTCTTCCTACAGGACTTGTTACCGTTTATCCTTGTACTGTAGAAGTGTATTATTGATAAAAGTAAAACTTATATAGCGCCGATATCAATAGTCGCTTTATAGTCGCCATTTTCATCAGCGGTTATAAAAAGGATTTTGAATAAATAATAAATAAATATATAAAAAATTAAAATATATCGAACACTAAAATTATTAAAAATAACGTTACTTACTTAAACTGTGCAAACTGCATAAAACCTACTAAAAACGAGTAAAACAAAAGATATCAAATTACATAAGAGCGTTCTAGAATGAAAGGGCCTTGAGTGCCTTCTTAAAAATGACAACTGAGGGGCGTCTCCATATCGCAGAAGGAAACAAATTCAAAAGGTTGGGAGCACCAACAGCAAAAGAGCGATCTTTTAACGTGCTGAATTCTCCGCAATGCCATTAAAAAATATCTCAGTGACAAATATTTTCAAAAATATGTGCGAACAGGTTTTCCAACTTTGCAAATTATATCTTTCATCGAATTGCTATAAACGTTAACATTCAATTGACATTCAAGTATGCAGCTAATATTGTGAATCCGGGATAACGCCCTAACTAAGTTGCGTTGTGGTGGCTTGGATAAGGTTTTTAAAGCTCTTTAGCTATGGTTGAGGCTTCTGAGTAGACATTCAGTAATGATGAGTACCTTGACGAGAGCCGTCTCTTAAATGCAGGTACTTCAAGTGAGGATAGCGGAATCCTTTTGAAGAAGCATATGCCCTCCAAGATAGCTAGTCATGAAGGTGAATCTTCCCTGAGGAAGGAACCTATGAAAAGCTGGAGTATGCAAAGCATTCCAGGATCCACTTCTAGTAAAGGTAAATGGAACAAGCTAATTACTATTTTGTTATATTGTTGCAGTAGTAATGAAGGTTCAGGAATAGTTTTTAAGGTGGCGCACCTGGTTTAGGGGCAAAGCATTCCACGTTTTAGCATTAACCACGTAGCCATTGACCAAGATATCCAAAATACTGTCACAAGTGTCATATCAATGTAATGATTTCATGACGAAATTATGCATTAGTTTTGTTGAGGTGACGGGTAAGGGTGGCTCAGTCATCAAAGAAAACCCGCAACAAGCGTTTCCTGTTGTTGTTGTAGTTTGGATATCAATAGCAGTTTTACCCGTTAAAATTAATAACGCAAAGAATGACTATTCTTACGTGAAAACGAACCAAAAATCTGGAAATGAAAATTCAGTAAGTTGACTGAGCCACCCTCGGGCGAGGGAAATTTGACCTCGGACCAGCGCCCTCTGTCCACTCCCGAAATCAAAGCGTCCGGCGAAGGAAGGTATTTTGGACATGGCGCGAGAAAATGCTCATCTCCAGCAACATGCGTGGGGATATTTCCCTTTTAAACGTTTTCTGAATTGTAGCGATGATAGAACTTTGCCTCTGATCGAACAAATGTGCTACTCGATGGGTTTTCCGCAAACCGCCTTCGAGTGGACAATTTCCGGACTGCCGGCTGTTTTTCTGTGCAGCCTTTACTTCGTCTTACGAAGGGAGTGACATGGGTCACACAATAACAACAACGACTTAATCGATGAATGCACACCAAAAAAAACACAGGAATACATCAAAGGTAATTGTTTTTCGTACAAAGTCTCAACGGTCGCCTGTAACGCTACACCGACATCTCTTGTGAGAAAGTGTTTTTACATTCCAGATTCGCTAGCCTGCGGTACAGACGTCCCCCCTTCCTCCAAAAAAATCGGGAGAAGAGACAAATGTAGCCTGTGTACAGACGTCCCTCCTCCCTCAGAAAAAATGGGGGGAAGAGTCTCTTCCTCCGATTTTTTCTAATGGAAGAGGGACGTCTGTACACAGGCTACACATTCGCCTGTGAAGACACAAATAAACACCAGGTTACATGTGCCGTCTGTGTTATATTGAGAAATTTACCCGTGCGTTTCAATCTGTTGTCTATTTGCAGTTTTATTTCTCACCTGCACGAATAAAGTACGTTTGCAGAATTTCCCCCGTGTATTACATATGGGTAATGGTTTTTCGACGTCTGATAAGCTTATACATGAAATAGACCCAAATCGTCCCCCAACAAGGACAAAACACAAAAAGATTATTAAATAACCAGAATTACGCCATATTTCTTGAAAAACTATGATAGTTGAACCTTGATTATCCGGACTTGTTTCCCTGGTCCCGTTTTTTTCATGAATATTAATACGATGTGATCTTGAAAAATTGAAACGATTAAAAAAGTTCATTAATCCTTCCAAACTTGTGTTTAGAACACTGTTTTTAATCTGTTTCGCTTTGAAAACGTGCGAGCGGCACGACGCGGGTGCTTCCCATTATGCCAAAATTTCCGGAAATTTCAGGTCCAAATGCAAATGGAACGGTTTAGCCCAGGTGGAAATTTTCCGCTCAAAGTGGTCCGCCTCCAGAGGTGGTCCTCTTGGACTGGTCGGTCCGGTCGGTCCGAGCGAAAATTGCCTTTCCATTTTCAGAAATTTTCGTTTCCAGTTTTGCTCCAGCTCGTCACTACACACAGTTGTCAGAATGGTGGATGGTTCTGATGTAGGTGTTTACGAGTGCAGTGTGTGCAAGCTTCAGACGCAAGACCTTAACTTTCTCCTTATGCACAGTTGCACACAAGGCTTAGGCACAGTAGTGCATCTTGATTTGTTTTTTCTTCTGGGTTTATCAGTTTTTAAAGACAAATCAATTCAAAGTGGACAGACTGCAAATTATAGTAGTTGCCAAAAAATATATATCTACGTGTCGCAACTGTTCATTAGCAGGATGCCTAAAATGCGTGCAATTCCACAATTGGTTTCGGCTCCATTAAATCCTAAACCAACCGCAGAACATTTTAGGAGGAGCCACCCACCATGTGAGCACAGTCACGGACAACACATAATATTTATAAGTGAGGAAAATAACGCAAAGTAAAATTAAGACGTTAATCAACGTACTAAATGTACACGTCAATTAAATAAATAAACAAATAATACGCGCGCTCAAAATAAAATTGTACGCGCGCACGTACCAAGATACAACTGAAATACAACCCTCAGACCTTGTTTTACATGGAGTGGGGGACCCCGGTCTAGTGGGGTAGGTTTCTCTTGTTTTGTGTCCCCCAGAGCGTGAAAACGAAAGAAACCAATCCCACTAGACCGGGGTCCCCCACTCCATGTAAACAGGCCCTAAGCAATAAATAAGTATTATACAATAACTAAGATAGTACGCGCGCTCTGATTGGCTGAGAGGCGTGTTTGCATGAGAGTATGTAAACATGGTTGTGGCGTCAATCAGTTTTGCTTTTCGCGCGCTAATCACGCAAGCACGAATTTGAAAAAGTTTTCAAGTTCAAAACTCGACAAGTTTACTTTATTTACCCATTCCTTCGTCGGCTGAAACTTGGAAAATCGTTACAAAGAAAGTGTGTGAATTTTTTTTTCGCTAAAGCTGACATTTTAAGCGAGAAAAATGCGTATTTTGCGAAGCATCTTTTTGCAAAACAAGAAATGATTGCGCGTGCAAGACTTCGGGGACAAGAGTTTGCGAGTGGTAAGAATTTCTCTTTTAATCATTGCCATACAAAGAATTTTGCGTTTTTCTTCGGGAAATTTATTTTATAAAAGCAATAGAAAACTTTTTTCCTCTGTTTGCATAGCCTGATATAAACACTCGAGGCGTTGGGAGAATTCTCGACAGTTATGCAAACCCTCGACTTGGTCTTGGGTTTGCATAACTATCTCAAATTTTCCCACACTGGACGAAAAAACGGATTTACCTCTATAGCAAATTTGGAGCAAATCATCTGCAAATGCCACATTTGCTTAATTTTGCTCAATTTTGCCACATGACATAGGACCAACTTTGCCATAATTTTGCATCAGTGGCAAAGGTGGTAAATGCCGAATTTGCCTCAAATTTGCTCCGTGTGTAAAAACAAGGATAACCTTTACTTTATCAAGGCATTTACAGGGGTGTCAAACTTGATAGCAAAACTGACATTTGTCAGGTTTTTGCCCAAATGGGCAAAAGCGATCGAAGATGAATTTTTGAATGCTTTTGCTCTCTATAGCAAATTCGGTCAAAGTAGTAATTTGCCACATTTTTGCTCAATGTAGCAAAAGTGACCAAAACTCATTTTTCAACAGTTTTGCCCAGGATAGTAAATCTGAGCAAAAATTCACTTTATTTGTGTATCGCCCAGTGTAGTAAATGAGGTCAAATTATCACTTCTTCCGTATCTTTGCTCAGTGTGGTAAATATGATCAAAATAGGCGTTTGCCACTGTTTTGCTCAGGGTAGCAAATTTGGCCAAATACCACTTTTTTCTCAAGTTTGCTCAGGATGGCAGATATGATCAAAACAGTAGTTTCCCATACTTTTCCCCATTGTAGCAAAGTTCATCAAATATCAGTTCTTCTGTATCTTTGCTCAGGATGGCAAATATTGCCATGATAGCAGTTTTCCATACTTAAAGTAAGGTAAACAAAGTTGATTAAAATATCACTTTTTTACACTTTCACTCAAGATAGCAAATTTGATCAAAACATCATTATCCAGATGTTTCTTATTTTTATTTGGTACCATAAATGACTCACAAACAATTAAGACACCAAACAAAATTTCAAGAATAAAATGGCTTTATTATCTTTAATATATACTGTACAATAAAAAGCAAGATAAATTAAAAGAAAGTTCCATTGGCCTCTGCAGGGCACTGCATGTACCACAAAATATATGCCTTTAAATAAAAAGCACATACAATGTGAAACTATCTAAATTCATAAGTGTATAAGAATGTACATTGGGTTTGAAAGTGCAAGTCAACACTAGCTGGTTCATAATTATCTAAGGTTGGTACAGGTAAAACGTAACTCCATTTGAGTGGTATACTTCAAATATACTCTTTCTAGATTCAATTGATACTATTGGCAAATGGTTGTACGATGACAACAAGTACACATCACTCCCAATGTAGATGTGACATCCTTATTAACGGACAGAACATCAACCACAGGAAATAAAATTAGCCTCAAATTATTATGATAAGCGATATTCCTCTAATTATTATTTATAAGAACTTGTTTTCATCTGATAAATATTATCCACTACCCAAAATAGGCAGTGAATAATATCATATAGTGTACCTAGTGCTATTCACTTACCCCAAGGGGAGATACATCTGTATGATTCATTTTTAACCAAATCAGTTATATAAAAATATTTCTTGTAAATAAAATGAGTTACTATGCGAAAGCTCTGTGCATTTCTATGATTTGGGTACGACTTTGATATATTTTTACCCAGCAGTAAACACTTATAAGGTTAATTTTGTCACCTTTTTAGCATGTACATGTATTTTATTTTACAGGTGCTTTATTTACTGCTAAACCTCTAAAACTAGCATGAAATGACACCCCAATTTTACTCTCATCCTATAGGTAGCCAAAAGCTTTTCAAGTTATGAAAGCAAATCTGCTATCCACTGATTTGGTTAAATACTTGTATTATTATTATTATTATTATTATTATTATTATTATTATTATTATATCACTGTAAATAATATGATTTGGTGAAATTCTTGTATTATTATATGACCATAAATAATTTATTACATTTGTTTTTTTTAACTAAAATCAAATTATTTGCTAAAAATTTGAGCAATTTTTTTCTGATTCACATGATCAGCTGTTTTGCTTGCAGTATTGGACTGATTAAATATCCAAATTATCCAAACACAATCTATACACTATGAAAGCTCTGTAGAACTTCTTTAATTCATCATCATTATTATTGTTATTGGCATGCAGGTGATTAAAATTTAAGCCATGCTTATCAAAAAACTGTTATCACACACGGTATTTTTTTTTGGCATAAAACATAACTGCACTCTTTTTTCATAAAATATGCCAAGAACAAAATAGGATCATGGCATTTGGAGTCCAGTAATTACTCTACTATGGGGTGTATTGGCTAGATTTAGTCCTCGGAGTGGCACTTTTTAAGGCAGTGCTTAGGGTAGCCCTAGAAATCTGTCACCACTGCGGAAAGTGGATGCAGATGTATCTCCAATTACATATGTTGGGTGAATGGACACGATGACTGAAAATACAGCTGCATTTACAGGCTACTAGATGGAAGGTTTTTAAAATTCAGTAAAGTTGCCAAGTTACAGAGTGATTCGGTGCAAACTAACAAGGACAGCTCTGCAAAGATGGCAAATTTTGCAGACATTTGTCTGGTAAGGGAAAGTTTGTGGCTCCACCATACCAGACAAAGGTCATTGAGATTACGTGACTTTGTGTCAACACTTTATTTCAAATCGGACTAATCACAAACAGCGTAAGAACCTAGCCAATCACAAAACGCTGACATACATGCATGTCTTTGTGACCCAGTGGGATTCAAACATGATATTGTGCACTAATTCTCAGACGGCATGCTCTATACAGAAGGTTTAGAGTGTCTGCAACACAGGCAAGATCTTCATTGGATTGTGACAAATCACTTTGAGATTTGGTAATTTACCTAGTTTTAACGTGGCTCCATCCCATGGGTGTCAAAGGATATTCACTTACTACATTGTAGGTCTTCATCAAAACTCAGAAAATTGTGCAATTGTCTACTGAGTAAATATGGTTCTAGGAACTTAACTGAAAAGGAACTGAATCATGATGCATGTCAACTTCAACTTGAGTGTTATTATTATTTTGTACATTTTTATCTAAAATGTCTTCTTCTTTTCTGAATGTTCTTCAAAAAATTATCTGTGTTATGCTTATGATCAAGTTCCTTTTTCTATTGTAAGTGGTGGGTGCCAGAGCAAACTCAGGAGCATCGTCTGGTGCTCCTTGATTTGATGCTGGTCTCACTGTGTGCTCTATTACCATTATTTTCACTTCATTGACTTTGACACCATGCAACTTTGCGGTCCAACTGGGCCATTAAACCATTAACCTCAATGCTCTGCCAGGAAAGTGGCCTTACACAGAGATTTTCCCTGTTTGGGAGGTCCTCATCTGAACCTGAAGAATTACCTTCATGCCACTCTGATACAGCTGTTTCAGACAAAGACTCCTCTGATGACATATATGCAACGGACATACATGCAAGGTACTTGTCCTTGTCTGACTAACTGATGCTAGTTGACTCCCTCAGAGCATATTGGCCTTTTAATTTTTTTTCTGAAAGAAAAATGACGAACCATGATTTAGCAGCCAACAAGTAACCCACAGTTGGTAAACAAGCATATACTGCTCATACTCAGTGTAAATGATTGGGTTGCAGAACAATGACACGATGCTAAAAGCTGAAAACACTCTCTTAATCAAAGGAACAGTTTGAGGATATTTGTGAGAAAAATTTCTCCCTGCATTTTATTCCTACTAACTTTTTCATTAAATATATAATATGTTTTTTGGAACAGGTGTTAAAGTAGAGAGCAGAAATGCCTCTTTCTGTTGAATCTGCATTTGTTTCATTAAGACTCTTTTAAGTGTAAATAAAGACTGAAATAAATTAATTCCCCTGTCATTCAAGAGCAGAACTGATAGTGTCCCACAGGTCACCAGGCTCTAACAGAGCACAACCATGACTCAACTGTACACATAAACCGTAAAACCGGTCAGAACCTGAGAAACGTAACATTAAGGCAACCCACATGTTGCTTAGAACAATAATTGATTAATTGTGGTTATTTGGCATGATAAAGCCAAAGCATTTACTAGCAAAATGAACTAACAAAGATCCCTCAACATCATTGAGCTGTACAAAAGGTATAAATAATGAGGTATTGTCGTTTAAAATGTGGAACAGTAATACAGTGGTCACTTGGAATGACACTTGTGCTTCAGGATCTGGCAAGTGCTGTCATTCGCAAAATGAGCCAAAATTAAGATCTCACAATATCACTGACCCATATTTATAAAGCGTAAGAGTTTTGGATGGTACAATTTATGAAAGAAGAATCACTTGTCATTTAAATGTGGAACAATAATGTGGTGGTCACTCGGAATGACACATAGGCTTCAAGATCTGGCATACGCCGTCACTCGCAAAATGAACCAAAATTAAGATCTCACAATATCACTGAACCATATGTGTAAACCATAAGAGTTTTGGATGGTACAATTTATGAAAGAAGAATTACTTGTCATTTAAATGTGGAACAAAATACGGTGGTCACTCAGAATGACACATAAGCTTCACTCGCAAAAATATAATGAAAAAAATGCCGTTACTCGCAAAATGAACCAAAATTAAGATCTCACAATATCACTGAACCATATGTATAAACCAAAAGAGTTTTGGATGGTACAATTTATGAAAGAAGAATCAATTGTCATTTAAATGTGGAACAATAATACGGTGGTCACTCAGAATGACACATAGGCTTCAAGATCTGGCATATGCCGTCACTCGCAAAATGAGCCAAAATTATAAAGATCTCACAATATCACTGAACCATATGTATAAACCATGAGAGTTTTGAATGGTACAATTTATGAAAGAAGAATCACTTGTCATTTAAATGTGGAACAATAATACGGTAGTCACTCAGAATGACACATAGGCTTCACTTGCAAAATGAAAAAAATGCCGTCATTCGCAAAATGAACCAAAATTAAGATCTCACAATATCACTGAACCATATGTATAAACCATAAGAGTTTTGGATGGTACAATTTATGAAAGAAGAATCACTTGTCATTTAAATGTGGAACAATAATACGGTGGTCACTCAGAATGCCACATTGGCTTCAAGATCTGGCATATGCCGTCACTCGCAAAATGAGCCAAAATTAAGATCTCACAATATCACTGACCCATATGTATAAAGCATAAGAGTTTTGGATGGTACAATTTATGAAAGAAGAATCACTTGTCATTTAAATGTGGAACAATAATATGGTGGTCACTCAGAAGGACACATAGGCTTCAAGATCTGGCATACGCCGTCACTCGCAAAATGAACCAAAATTAAGATCTCACAATATCACTGAACCATATGTATAAACCATAAGAGTTTTGGATGGTACAATTTGTGAAAGAAAAATCACTTGTCATTTAAATGTGGAACAATAATATGGTGCTCACTCAGAATGATACATAAGCTTCAAGATCTGGCATATGCCGTCACTCGCAAAATGAACCAAAATTAAGATCTCACAATATCACTAAACTATATGTATAAACCATAAGAGTTTTGGATGGTACAATTTATGAAAGAAGAATCACTTGTCATTTAAATGTGGAACAATAATAAGGTGGTCACTCAGAGGGACACATAGGCTTCAAGATCTGGCAAGTGCGGTCACTCACAAAATGAAAAAAAATTAAGATCTCACAATATCACTGAACCATATGTATAAACCATAAGAGTTTTGGATGGTACAATTTATGAAATAAGAATCATTTGTCATTTAAATGTGGAACAATAATACAATGGTAACTCAGAATGACACATATGCTTCAAGATCTGGCAAACTTGTGCCGTCACTTGCAAAATGAACCAAATTAAGATTTCACAACATCACTGAACCATAATTATTTATAGATGTAAAACAAGAGTTTTTGACTGTAAAAATTTCACAAGGGAAATCATTTGTCATTTGAAATGTAGTAGAATATTACAGTCAAACCAGGTCAAGCGTTCCCGTCGCTAACAAACTAATGAATTCATTAATGGAAAAATGATTTCGTTTGTTGATTCAATAATCCATTCATAAAATGAATAATCCAACAGTCAAATTGGACCTCGATTCAATAATCAAATGTTGATTTGGTTTATGAACAAAATCTACCTGTTCTTTATTCTTGTCTGTTGTCTTCAATCGTATTTGCTTCCTTTTTCTTGCCGTTTACGATTGCGTTTTTCATTGCCTTTAATCAAAATAACAGCTAGAATAGACAGACCGCAAACGCAAAGAAACTATGAGAAACTGACAAAGGCCGAGGATCGAAATCCACCAATCACCGCACATACACTGACCTTAGTTTGACCGTTGTGTTTTCTAAGAGGTCAGGCCTGGGTCTGTTGCACTGATTACTGGCAGCAAACTGGCGTACATGTAACAGTTTGTTTGGGTTTGAACTTCAGAACTCGCCAGCACTCGACTCTCAGAAAAAAAAACACAGGTAGCCCAAGCTCACTATGAGAGCCGTGAACAACGTTATCCTACTTAGCTAATTAATTATTCATACAGCAAGAAAATTATAAGACGTTGTATGGAGAAATATTCTTTGCTCACTAAATTAGCAAAATGTGCATTGAATATCGCTTTAAACCTTTAACAATTCTTGTTTTTCTGATCTCATCAGGGTGAAAACTGTCACCCCAAAAAGGCCTTTTTGGAGCCTAGGAGGTTTTCACAGTCAGAATACAAAGAAAAACAAGAACACGCTAAAGGTAAGCTTCAAAGCGATATTCAATGTACATTTTGCTAATTTAGTGAGCAAGGAATATTTCTCCATACAACGTCTTATAATTTTCTTGCTGTATGAATAATTAATTAGCTAAGTAGGATAATGTTGTTCACGGCTCTCATAGTGAGCTTGGGCTACCTGTGAAAAAAAGAGGAAAAAACAAAATTCTGAGGTCAACTTGTAGAAAGTGTAGTTTTTCAAAAAACAGTAATCGAATCAACATTCGATTATGGAATCGAGGCTAAATATGAATATTGGATTGTTCATTTTATGAATGGATTATTGAATCAACAAACGAAATCATTTTTCCGTGAATGAATTCATTAGTTCGTTAGCGACGGGAACGCTTGACCTGGTTTGACTGTAAATAATAAATTATAGTGACCACTGCTTTGTCAAGTGCTGTCACCTGAAAAGTACAGTAACCCCAAATATCTAACATATTAACTCAGCTGTACAACAAGCCAAATTTCTGAATTATGAACATGCTAAGGTCACATCACCGACTTATATTGGTGTAAAAGAAATGTTTGCCTGCACAGCTCAAGATCCGGCTACTTATTAAGATTATTCTATTAATGAAGACGATGCGCAACAAAGAGTACAGTTATTTCTGCAGTAAACAAAAAGGAATCAATCAATGGCATATCTGTGCATGCATCTTAAATTTTAAGATTTATCTTTGAGGTTTTAAGCTTACGCAAAGTTATTAGAAAACCAAAGTAAGTAAACGAACCACGATATCAAGAAGAACATACCTTTCTGCAATCCAGCTGAGTTGATGACTTGGAAACAGGCTTTATGTGAAGAATATCGCAACTGATCACTGTCTCTCGAAGATAACAAAGGTATAAATCGTAATAGAACAGCTGAATAGAAAGACAGGCTTTCTATTATCCGAAAATAACAAAACTACTCGTTTTGCAACGCTGTATTGCTTGTGAAATCCGCGTGAATTTGAACTGTTCAACGAAAGTTTATTTTACACTATTCTATTGGTTCAAAAGCCGCACGTGACAATGTAAATCAAATCGCGCATGTGCCAAAGTCACATGGAAGCCTGGGCAACAAACATGGCGGCTAATCTTGCGACGGAGTGCATTCAGGACTACATTCACCCGGACGATGAAACTCTGCAATCTACTATTGAAATGACTCCTGGGTTCAAACCTTTCACATATTGTGCATTTTGTTCACCCAAATTATAAATGGTAACGTTTTACGTCAGGGCCTCCTATTCCGAGACTTCTTGTGATATTTTTTTTCCGAGCCACCGACACAATATCAGGAAACGCATTCGACGCTAAACGAAAAAAAAGGGGGGATGAAATAACCAGCTGCAGCAAGTAATATTATAAACTTTGAGAAGAATGTGATGGTGATTGAAACGGAAAATGCAATGGAAAATCAAAACTTGCGTGAAATAACACTGTGAAGTTTGGTAAATGTGCAAACGTTGGTTAAAGTGATCGTAAAGATAGTTCTTTGATCATATTTTGCTTAAATTTACGCCTCTAGTAACCATAAATTTACACATTAACTTTGCTATGCCAGAAAATATCAAGCAAACATTCAGTTTTGACGTTCGATTTTTACACACAGAACAAAATGGTGGCAAATTTGAATCTAAACACCAAATTTACTATGGGGAGCAAAAGTGAAACAAAATATCTGTAAACTTGATATTTACTCCACATTTACGCCACCCTTGCAGAAAAGTAAACTTTCACTTTCGAACAAAATTTGCACCAAGAGCAAATAAGTAGCAACATTAGTACCCTAAATTTACAATAGATTTGCTCAACTAGCAAACTTACGCAAATCCGTTTTTTCGTCCAGTGCCACAGGCGGCCCAGACGTAGTATGTGTCACTGAATGAATATATTAATATTCACATGGACAAATTAATGCGATGAGTCGTCGAAACTCCAATGAACTAAAATAGTCCAAAAATTAAAATATAACAAAATAAAGCAAAGATACCTTTAACTGAACGTATCCTTGTCTTTCCTGGCCGGTTTAAGTGGCATTTTGTTGAGTTTTGCAATTGTAGGTTACAAAACAAACAGACCATCTCCACGCGCCTTCACACGAAGCGCTATAAATTCGAGAATAATCGACGAATCCGCTCCAAATAACCATCGGCTAATCTGCAGGTAACGTGTGCTCCTGCCTCTGGCTCGCTTGCTCCACAAAACCCATCGCAACTGCACAATAATTGCTCGCTCATCAACAACCACTGTTGACCTTTACGCTTCGATATGACCGCAAACGACCAGGTATAATACGCGACGTGAATATTCAAGCTTAGCGACCGCGTCCGCACGACGATGCAACACTTGCAATGGGAGGGATGGTACAATTGCTTCTAGGTCAATCAATCGGGAAAATAATATTGAAGCCCTTATAATTTTTAAAAAGATCCAATTTGCCCTAGAAGCACATTTACGGACAGCCGTAAATGTGTTTTCAATGCATTTAGGGGGAAATCATCGTTGGGTGCCCCTGAGTTTTGAGAATAACTATAATAATAATAATAATAATAATAATAATAATAATAATAATAATAATAATAATAATAATAAAAGATATCGCGCCCATAAATTTTACTTTACGATATCTTCAGCTGTATCTTCTATTCAGCTGCATAGCGGGGGCCAGATTTTGCCTTTTTCCTGGGCGGAAAATTCTCGTCCTCCTTCACCAGTTTGGACAACATATCATGGAGTTGATCTAAGCAAATAAGTCTGGTAGAGTCAAGAACCTATGCAAGCGGCTGGACGAACAATGTGACAGCATCTGAGACAGCGAACGTTAGAAGAATTCGAACTTGAAAACCAGGGCTGCCCTGTTGAAAACTTACGGACGGTCCCGCGATCGCCTTTTGTTTTCTGGTCAAAACTAACGCAGCGGACCCTCGCTCAGTGTTGATTGACCTAGAACAATTGTACCATCCCTCCCATTGCAAGTGTTGCATCGTCGTGCGGACGCGGTCGCTAAGCTTGAATATTCACGTCGCGTATTATACCTGGTCGTTTGCGGTCATATCGAAGCGTAAAGGTCAACAGTGGTTGTTGATGAGCGAGCAATTATTGTGCAGTTGCGATGGGTTTTGTGGAGCAAGCGAGCCAGAGGCAGGAGCACACGTTACCTGCAGATTAGCCGATGGTTATTTGGAGCGGATTCGTCGATTATTCTCGAATTTATAGCGCTTCGTGTGAAGGCGCGTGGAGATGGTCTGTTTGTTTTGTAGCCAGCCTTTAATTCTTCTATGGTGGATAGTACCTACAATTGCAAAACTCAACAAAATGCCACTTAAACCGGCCAGGAAAGACAAGGATACGTTCAGTTAAAGGTATTTTGCTTTATTTTGTTATATTTTAATTTTTGGACTATTTTAGTTCATTGGAGTTTCGACGACTCATCGCATTAATTTGTCCATGTGAATATTAATATATTCATTCAGTGACACATACTACGTCTGGGCCGCCTGTGATTTTCCCAACCCCTCTCGTGTTTATATCAGGCTATGCAAACACGGAAAACAATTTCTATTGCTTAAATGTAAGGATACGATGGTGCAATTTAAGCCTCGATTGCTAATCTCATCTCCCGCAGGGCTGCACTATACTTCTCGACGATAAGACCATGGCGACTGAAGAAATTATTAAATGATTTCTGAAGTAGATTGTTTTCAAAGCCTTGCTGTTTGAGACGTAATGAAAGTCCACGGAGTCTATTTATGAAGTCAACTTTGGACGTTCAAATTCTAGCATATCTCACCAGTTGAGATATATAAACACCGTAAGCTGGATTGGCGGGAATGTTGCTGTCCATATGAGGAAGTTGACTATCCGAAATGCAAAGTCCTCCCTCTTGTCGTAGATGCTGATACGGAAAGGTGTCTATCGCCAGTCTTGATATTAGTGTCAAGATAACACACTTCAGTAGATGATGTGGAAGTGTCCTTAAGTTCCACGACGGGTAAATTGCGCTCATGTAATTTCCAAAGTCCACATTGTTAACACTGAATAAATCGTCGATGTACCGAAAGGTGTTGCTGAATTGGATGGCTCTTGTAATATCCTGTTTCATTGTTTGAATATATTACTGGCTTCTCCGAATGTTGACGGTGTTTTCCCTCATTTTTCTCTTAGCAGTATGTGATCCTAGCTCTTACGACAATACTAAACAATCAATTCGGTCGGAGTTTTGGTTCCGACGCGTTCCATTTTCCGTTAGTTAGTCCGAGTGGTCTCTGACCGGTTGGAAAGGTATAATGGAAAGCACCCGAGATGAACAATAGACCTATTCGGCCAACTCAATGTTGTACCCAATTCAAATCTCCCGGGGTTAAGATTCTTTGTGTATTGTATTTGCAATATAATGTAGCATTCACATTTAAATGATATGGAAATTCCTGAAACAAAACGGTTTATTCCCAAAGGGTTTGAATTGGGTACAACACTGAAGCCCCGTGCAAACGGATTCAACATTGTTGGCCAACAACTCCCAACATTGTTGGATATTACATGTTGCGTCCGTTTGCACACCCTGTTTCATGTTGTTGGATGTTGTTGTGTGTTGTTGCGCAAAGTTTGAAACCGGTCAAACTTTTCAGCCAACAACTCCCAGCATTTCTTTTGTTCCATGATCGCCGAAGGGTAGCGCAACAATGTTGGATCCGTTTGCACAGCTCTTCCAACATTGGGGCCACGCACGCTCATTACGTATGGTTTACAAAGACTTATGGGCTGTATCCTTCCTACGATGCACTGGAGGTCCCAAAATTGTTGGGAGTTGTTGCATCCGTTTGCAGACCACTGCCAACACACACGCAACAACTCCCAACATTATTGCGCCAATAATGTTGGGAGTTGTTGCGTCCGTTTGAACGAAACCTGAGTTAGCCGAATTAGGTCTATTTTTCTGATGCATTCAGCTGAATTCCGATTGGCTGAATTGTTACGTTGCTAAGGAAATTTCATGCTTAATTCCGTGTAGGTTACGTAAACACAAATCACAGGCATTTCTACGAAACGAAAGCAGTCTGTTCTCTGGATAAAGGATAAGCAAACGATTATTTCGCGTTTGGAGAAAGAGAAAAAGGAAAAAATTTAGCACTCGAGTTTAAAATCAGCAAGCAGCAGATCTCAGATATACGCAAAAACAAAGAGAAGTTCGTGAAATTCACCGACAGCGTCGAGACGAGCGAAGGATTGAAACGAAAGTCCCTGACGGCTGCAAATGATGAGCAGCTGGAGAAAGCAATATTGACCCTATCCAAATAATGCAGCTTCGACGAATGATGGACTTTGAAGTATGCGATCACGTTGTAGTTCGTTAAAACAAACTAGTATGCTTGAACATTTTAGAGTGCTGTAAATGCACGAACACTTGAAACAGTGCCTTTTTTTATTTGTAAATAACAAAAATGCAAGTGGAGCTAATTCACAGTGAAGTTTTTTTTCTTTATTCCCTATTTTTACATTGTTGTCTCATTAATATTCATATTTTCGATTATCCGGACTCTCGATTTTCCGGACTGTTTACTCAACTCCCAACGATTCCGGATAATCGAGGTTTTTAGCTTTACTTTGAATGTGGCATATTTTTCTCCCATACAAATACCAAGAAAATGGCTTCCACTGCTCGATCTCAAATTATACTTTGAAGGGCGAATCGCTCAAGCACGATTCCAATAGGACTTCCGAAGCATTTCATCTGCAACACACGTTCCGGGTTTGATTGATGTACTGATAGCTTTCCACTCAACACCACTTCGCTGTATTAGTCTTGAGCTCCGTTCGTGGGCGAGCGCATTTTTCAGAATCGCGGCGTTTGAACGTTTCCTTCCTCCCCTCCCTTCCCCTTCCATCCTTCTTTGTCGCTTTTGTTCCTGCAGCTTTCACGTCGAACTCGCCCGCAATGCTTCTATGCTACGCAGGTTAATTAGCAATCATTGAATGAAGCTGAGTAGGATATGATTAGAAGACTTAAGTAGATCGAGGCTGAAGGCTGAGATCTGTATAATTCTTCAATAATTGTTTTATGCTTCATTCAAAATATTTTTAAGGCTTGGTTCAGACGCCGTACCTTTCATGTGCCGAACCTAATTGAATAAGTTCGACTTTGGAGCGACATTGTTAAGTGCTGATGTACTTAATTGATTATGTTGTACCAGACATTACACTAATGTAGTTTTCGTGGCACAATATACGCAAATGTAAGGTTACAGTGATAGTCTTTCGTAAGCACTGAATAAATGTAGTTCTTGGACGACATTTTCGAGTACTATAAGTTCTGTTTGCAAATTTAGTACCTGTACGAATTGTCCCAGAATATTTGACCACTAAATTGATTGCTAGATAAATATGGCCGAGACAATAATATGCTTCTTTACAATCCTAATAAATTGCTTTCCTAAGAAATCACCTTCAATTCTTTTACGTGTAGAGCCACACTTGAATTTCAGTGTTGTTATTTTTAAACTGCTACTGAAGGACTACATACAAAGACAGTAAGTTTTGTGTCGGGCAGTGACAAACATGCAAAAATAAAATGGGCTACTTGAAATTTTGAGATGCCTACTTTTTCTTTATAATAATGAACCTTAATGTTTTGTACACACCTTTTAAAATTGTATTGGAGGTTGTCAAAGTGAATTTAAATGCATGAAAAGATCTGTAATGTGTAGATTAAGGGTCTCCACCACATTTAAGGGTCGCAGTTGTCTGTGACCGTCAAAATTTATTTTTAGAGTTACATGCATGGGGCGTGGTTCCACACGAGTGGTTATGGGTGGCGGAGATGTGAATGGGTTACAAAAACATATAAACATTATTTTGTAAGAAGCTTATAATAAAGGCTTGATCTCACACCAGATGCTCCTGATGTACCCAAGAAAGTTTCTGTCACTGAAAAGCAGCCTGTTGCAAAAACACATGCTTTAGTCTCTGGATTCTCAGAAGAGCTATGTCCAGTTGATGAAGGGACTAGATACTCATAGCGTGTCGGGCTCACTTCTGACCAACGCCTGGGACCATGACTCACCATTTGGCGAGAACACATGAACAAAAAAAAAAAAAGAAACGCCTGCGTTTTTAGAGTCTCGCAGCTAAAGCAAGCTCGACTAAAAAGTGAACAGTAACAAAAATGAGATCGCTTCCAAGTTTTGCCCTTAAGTCTTGATAAAAATATTCGCGAATACCTATCTGAACGTTATGCTCTGATAACAGCAAAACGTTCCTATTTCTTCAGGTACATTGTTTTCAGCGGGATGTTCTGTGGAGGCTATTTTGAGACTGTCATAGACGTTCATAGTCCTTATTTACAGCACTTCACATATTTGATTGTAGTTTTATACACATAATCCCCGCAATAGCATGTTTTCTCCATTTTGTTGCAACAGAAGATTCTCTAATGGTCCGGAGCTCCTTGGAGGACATGACTGAGGACCATGAAGGTATCTTCGTAGAAAGCATGCGTAGAAATCATTTCCGTCTATTCTTAACCAAGTGTCGGTGAGGAGAAGCACGGGAGGCGCACGATAGGGAAAAATACTGACGGGGAGAGAAATAAAACGCCGCCCGCTGAGCTTCTATCCTAGGAATACGCAACCTGATATATGCCCAACAAATGTCCGCCCCCGGGAGGAATGGTCACGCCTAAAATTGACTGAACCTTAAGTTTCAAAGAGATAATTATTGTAACTAAAGCTTTTTTTTTCAGAGCCTTGTATAGAAATTGACAACAACCAAAGAACAAACTCTTACTACGACGAGCAGCTTGTTTCAGAAACGTCCCTTAGTAGTGACTGTGAAATGAAAGCTGATGCTGCATCAGGAAATCCAACTAGAATATCCACGAATACAGACTCTCTGTCGCAAAATAGCCGTAAGCGTAAAATGTCAGAATTCCCTTGTAATCCAGGTATGCAAAAACGTGAGTTGTTTTTCTTGCTATTGCTCAATAGTACACTACTATACTGTATCTAAATGGGGGAAGTGATTGTTAGATTATCCACAGGTACGTTTTCCTACAGGACTTGTTACCGTTTACACTCGTACTGTAGAAGTGTATTATTGATGATACTAAAACGTATGTCACCCCGATATCAATAGTCGCTTGATAGTCGCCATTTTTATCAGCGGTTATAAGAAAAAACATTTTGAATAAATAATAAATACTTGTAAATAGATAAATATATAAAAAATTAAAATATATCGACACTAGAATTATAAACATTAGTTTGGTTACTTAAACTGTGGATACTGCATAAAAACTACTGAAAACTAGTAATAAAATTACATCTTATTGCATACATTGTAAGAGTTTTTCTGGAATGAAAATGTCTTGAGTGCCTTCTTAAAAATGACAACTGGGGGGCTTCTCCATATCGCAAAAAGAAATAAATCCCAAACTTTGGGTGCAGCAAAGGCAAAAGAGCGATCTCCTAACGTGGTTTAAGTCCTGAATTCTCAACTATGCCTTTAAAAATATGTTAGTGAGAAATGTATATGCGAACAGGTTTTCCAATTTTGCTAATATTACCTTTCATCGAATTGCTATAAACGTTGACGTTCTATTCACAGTCAAGTATACAGCTATTATTGTGAATCTGTGCGAACGCCCCAACCAAGTTGCCTTGTGGGGGCTTGGATGAAGTTTTTAAACCTCTTTGGTTATGGTTGATGCGCCTGAGTAGACATTCAGTAATGATGAGTACCTTGACTGGAGCCGTCTCTTAAAATCAGGTACTTCAAGTGAAGAGAGCAGAATATTTTTTTAGAAGCATATGCCCTCCAAGATAGCTAGTCATGAAAGCGTATCTTTCCTGAGGAAGGTACCTCTCACATAACAGTAAAAATTATATTAACCACGTAAATTTGTGCAATTAGGTAAATAAGTGTTAAGTTATTGTGCATACTGAATGTTTTGTTATAGTTTAAAAACGTTTAACTTTCCTGCTATTCATTTTCAGACTCTGTTCTTACTACTGCCTTTATCGAAGTTAAAGTTTCTTCAATTGCCCAAGATTTAACTGTTGAACAGCAAACGACGATAACTAAAGAATTAGAGCAGTTGGCTTATAAGTACCGACGACACCAAGATCTTTCGTCATTGCCATTTGTTAGTAGAGTAGCCCGCCTTGCTGAGTTTATAGAAAAGGCTTTTGAAGTGGCCGTACTGTTTGTGCAACCAGGATCTTTGATAATAACAGTACAGTGCCCCAGTCTAGAGAGTCTTGAAAGTCTGTGGAATGGTTACTGTTCTGGTTACCTTAATGACGTTGTTGAGAGTTTCCTGGTGACTGATGAACTCAAGAGAAAGCTGGGGTTGGACAAGGTCAGGTTGAAGACAACTATAGAAGAAGAAAACTACTTAATTTGTAAGAAAGCTTTCATGGAAAACTCAGGTGAGTTGGGAATTCTCAGTAGGGCTTTTTTGGGAACATGTATTTTGGCTTAATAAGTTTTATGGAACCATTTTATTTCTGTACTCCTTAAGCAACTACGACGACAACGACAACGCAAAAAAAAAAAAACAATTGGTTTTATGAACAAAACGACAATCACGATTTTTAGTACATTTCTTTGACGTCCACTGAACGACTACGACGTGAAACCTCCCAATGTGACGTTTTATAGAGGACGATTTTCCTTTCTCTACTTGAACATGGATATTCAACTCCACGAGAAATCGCCTACCTTTGACGAGTTAAGCTGTTCCAAATAGACGCGATAGAGTTTGAAAGGATGCAAATTCATCTCTTTAGTCATGTTTTCACTGCCGTCGTCGTCGAAGTTGCTTAAGGTCCCTATTTTTGGGGGTTGGACTTGCGAACCGCGTCACGCAGTCACGCAGTCCATCACAAGCACCACATTAAGGCTTAACTGCATCACGCAGTCACATCAATTGATGGTTTTCACAGTGACGTCATCAGATTGCAAAGTCAAAAATGCGAGGTTTTACGAATTCTTATTTACACTAGGTTGAAGATAAATGGAAAATAAATCTTTGTACAAGTTTCCAGCCCCGAAGCATGTTTCATTTCGAAAGTACAGCAATTTGAACTTCCGAGTTTTCACAGTGCGTGACACCAAAATAGGAATGCTGTCTCATTGAAAAAAGTCTCTCCTCTTCATTTTCAGCTAGTTTAACCATTTCAAGTATTAAAAGATGTGTTTATGCGCACGTTTGCCAGCTCTAGAATGAAAGGAAGAGCTTTTGTAGAAAAAGTGAACTCTAGATGTTTTTGTTGATTTCCGGCGGCCATATTGGTGGACAGTTTCTGTTCACCAATATGGCGTTTCCATACAAAGTTCTACAAAGGTGCGTGAAATGTTTCGACAAATAACTCAGAAACTGGGCTACAAAGGCATGAGATTTGGACAAATTGTTTATATATTAGTCTTTTACAACATTTCATTTTGTTGACTTCTTCCACTGGACGGTTTCGAATTTTTTTTTCCTTGTTTATTGCGTGACAGTGAAAACGAAGAATAGCAAGAAATGTCTCGCTAATGAAGCAACCAACCAGCCTATGTCACTGATATTAGTATTATAAAGGAAATAATGGGAGATGGGAGAACATAATGGGAGATCTCCCATTATTTCCTTTGTAATAAACAAAATCTTCCAACATTGAGTGAGTATATTAATATGCCTGATGCCATATATGAGTGCCATTTGAAAAACACTAAAGCATTCCCCAAGGGTTCACACTTAAAACAAGTTTTACAGGCCGTTGTAACTGGTATTTTGTTGTTGGTGACACTATTGTTTTTATCACTAGGAGTAGCAAGTATCACTGAAACTTCACGTCAAACAGTTGATTCAGGTCAGGTAGAGGATACAAGGTGGAGTGAAGAAAGCTCAGATGTTGTAAAAGTAAATGTATTTCTTTTAGTTGTTGAGTAGATTGTTTTGCTAATCCGCAGCAGGATTAGCTCAGTCGGTGGAGAAATGAAGGTACTGCCTTTTCCCGCAAATTGCTGTACCTCGGATGACCATGTAAAATGGCGGTCCCGTCTCCATTAAGAGACAAAAATAGTGTCCCCAATTAATACTTTCGTGCCAAATGCATTGACATTCATATGAAGCGCAAATTGTTATCATATTTGATCATTAGAACCTTTATAAGCCACTCCTTTTGAATTTCACACCACTTGACGCGACCAGTTTACTCATGGCTGCCTTTTTCGTTTTATCATATATGAGGTTTATAGGTACATGTATACCTACGTTTAATTTGTTCTTGTACGTTTGTTAATTTTTGCTCAGCATATCTTGTTAGCGCTTATGATGTGTCTAAAATGTGGCTCTTCTTAGTTCTTCGTATCCTATGTTCTGCATATACACCCAATCGCAAAAACGTTGTCATAGCAAAATGAAAACATAGGCACGTTGAACGTGCATGAGCTATTTTGAATGCTTCAGTGTAACTTTAATGCTTCAGTGTAACCTTACCAAGAGTGATGAATCTACGTTTTTCGTCCTAAATGTATACTGGGTTTTTGTGCGAAATTGAGCATTGCCGTAAATAAATGAAAACGCGAAACGCTCAGCTGCGTCGATCCTCATGCTACTTTCCTCTGTCTTTCCCTGTTACATTTGGTGCAATTTAAACAAATTGTTAAAGTAAAATATATGTCTACTCACCAAACGTTGATTAGAGGGAAAACTCTAAGGTTTCCTCGGAGTTTCTTACGCCAAAATGTAACTCATCGAATTCGAGTAGTTACGAAATACCAGGATTTTTATCATTGTGGTCATAGTTATTAGAGGAGACTGGTTATGAAAAGCGGCAAACATCAATGATAAAAACAACAGTGCTGCAGTTTATGTTCAAAGCACCGTGAAAGTGCACAATCCTTTGTTTTCTGTTGGCAAATTGTTACGGAATAAATTAATGCAACGTTTTTATTGGTCAATACAATCAAAATGATAGGAATTCTTTTGAACGTTGTGCACTTTCAGGTCCACAAAAACATATAACAAAGGAGTCTGACGCGTTTCATAACCATTCCACTCAATTAACTATGTTGTGGTATATGGTTGCATCATCACAATTCACGAGGTTTTCACGTGCGATTCTACTCAGTGAAACAGTGTCTAACTCTGACAACTTATTTCTTCATGTTTTAAAAGCTATTGCTTCTTAACACAAGAGCCTTTTTTAAGGCATTGGTTACAAAACAAAACAGGTCTTCATACGTTCAAGTTACTATTACTATTGTGAAAAGCCAATCTGCATGAGATGCACAGTCACACAACTGGCACGTGAAAGTGTTGGACTTTGCCCTCTTTTGTGGTTCGTACGTGAGGGAATTCGAGTTATCACAGAGTAATCGAGTAAACAGAATTATAAAAATAACTCATGCACACAATTTGCACGTGAAGATGTTGGTCTTTGACCCTTTTACAATTCGTACTTAAAAAAAACGCAAATTGTTTACTACAAAATTTTCTCAAACGATTTTAAGAAATCACCTCGGCTTCATTACAACAGCTGCAATTAAATTATGTTTCCTGCAACGTCAAGGTTGATAGCCTAACAATTATAAACTTCCAAGAAAATTATCAAACTGCCGAAATATATTTCTGCTCATATCATGTTACTCCACTCAATAAAGCAGTACCTAATTATTGTGTCAACTAGCTTCTTCCAATTTTATTCCCTAACGCTACTGTTTCTACTTAAGTTTATACGCATCTTTCCTAAATAAAATACGTTTCAATAACTATAATGCTTAGTATGCAGGAAGGATGTATCATGTTGTTCACTTATTATTCCTTTTTGTTGTTGTTTTGCCGGAACGAAAAAGGTCTGTTGAACTTTGTAAGCGAGAGAATAATATTTCTACAGCTTGTTTACAGGATTAACAATACTCGGTACAGCTTTAAAAAAAATAAGCTGCTTTTCAAACTTCTAATACCACATTTTATAGGCCGCATACTTTCGAATTAAAGTCCATATCTAAATATCAATTATTGCTTCACTGGAAGAGCTTTGAAAATATATGATCGTTTATACTCTACCTTGAAGCAGGTGAAACACAACTCATAAATACGTGCGTGGTACCGTTCGCGATAGCCGAATTCGGTCAGAAATGTCTTGAAGTAGCATCCACACTAAAATATGAACCCTTAAACAGCTGCATCACTGTACACAGCGTTTGAATCATGAAGATATTGAATATAATGTTTCCAAACACCTGTAGCCGTAATAAAAGACGAACAAATTGTAAAGAATCAAGATGGCGGTCTTAAAGTGCCCTTGTTCGACCTTTAGCAATGTCATTTTTAAGTAGATGCCAAGATCTCATTGGTTCCTTAGCATCAACTCATAGTACCTTCAACCTTATTGGCTCTTGCAACAAACATCCGAACATACAAAGTTACAAAGATACAAAGCCACAAAGATACATACGCTCACACCACTGACATATGAGCTATTTTTTCAAAATAGCTCAAAAAGGAAAGCCAAATAGCAATTAGTTAGGCTAATAAGCCTGACGAATTGTTTTGCAGCACCCGCACATGGACGCCGTATTTACCTGTTGGAATTTGCTATTGTTTTGAAGCTGAAAAACGATGAAAAAATTCCAGCAGGGAAATGCAGCGGCTGCAAATGAATCCACGCTGAGAATGAGGACTAATTAGCCTGATTAATTCCTATTTGGCTTTTTCCTTTTTTAATTTTTTTTTAGAGAACGTTATTGCAATTAGGTGTATCCCTTATATTTTTGGTGCTTTTACTGTTACTCTTATCAGTATAATAAACTGGATTGCTGGCGGCTCCCTCCATTCATCATTGTGCTGTTTTGTCTCTTAATACTTATAACAGAGATATTTTCTATTCGGCTGAGCGTAGCGATAGAGAATACAAGTATATTTTCTTTGGGGAGTGGTGAAACTGGCGATATAATCAAGCAGTATGTAACAAGGCAACCAATTGTAGATCAAAAAATTTTTATCAAGGAATTATATATAGGGTTTGGACCTTGTATATCACAATAGTAACCTGAAGATACTACTTAAAACGAAAGTGGTGAATAGGGAGAGTTACTAATTAGCTGTTAATTAGGTGCAAGTATAACAAACAAATACCAGTAGTGACACAATAAATTAATTTGTATTTACTCGGACTGATCTATTGTCATCCCAGGACAAGAAGCAGGCCCTGACACCTATGGCCAGAGCTGAGAAGGCTAAAGTAAGTTCAGCGGGAACTTCATCATAATGTAATAATATTGGAGTGTGCGCGCGCGTTGTGTATTCAAACAAAGCAAAACAAATATGAAAAAAACGTCACTCGGTGGAAGGATTAAAGTGCCGTGGTTGTTGATTATTTGTGAATGCGTAGGAATAGGAAGAAATGATATTTTTTCAGGATACTCTGTACTCAGCCGTAAGATACCCTACTATAGACTGCGAGCAGTCTCTCTTTTCTTCAGATTTAGTGAGAGCAATGGACGCGCGCGGGAGCGGCGAAGCCGCGAGACGCGCGAAACGAGGGCGGCACGCGCGTGGCCATTTGCGTGTCTCGCGTTTTGCTCGATGGACTACAGAAAAAGAGAGACTGCTCGTAGTCTACTAAGAAAAAAAGGAAACATTCAGCAAAACACGCTCGGTTTTCCTGTTTATTGTCCATTTTTAATCGAACATATGCCAACTTAAGTCGTCCAGCCTAATCACAGTTTGATTGGGACTGGGGTCGATTACTAAATTTTTTTGTGAGAGTTTGATTGATTAAAGTATCATTGTTTTCTAAAACCATAAGACATCTTTGAAAAGGAAGGGTCGCTAGGTGGCTTTTAATTAGTTGTAACTGTACGGTTGTAAACAAAGACGGGTTTCATGAAAGTAGTTGCATCTTCCCAAATAACTTTCAAGAAGAGCCATAACCCATTATAGCTCTTGCTTTCAACAATTGCTGAGTTATGTTTTGTATGATCAGCTTTATGTAAGGTGTGTGAATACACGAAGATCCTGGATGCCATTTTTTGTCTGTAGAAGTGCTTCTTTTTAAAATATTGCAGATCTGTTTGTGAATATAGTTTTTAATCATCCTAGGACAAGAAGCAGGTCCTGACCCATATGGAGAGAGCTGAGAAGGCAAAAGTAAGTTCAGTGAGATAGGTATTGTAGTGTGCGCTCGTTGTGCATTTCACTTGATGCAGGGTTGGAAAATGCCAAATTGGTAACTGCGTTTGATTAATGTGCAAGTCGTTACCACTTCGGAAATTTTTGAGAGCCAGGAGTTTATTTTGAGCTGCAGTGTCCCGAACCCGTATACAGTAGGACGCCCTGGGGGACTTTAGCTCAGGTCTGAGTTATTCAAGTTCAAGTTCAAGTTCATTTATTCACACTTATTCAATTACAATACAACAACAATAAGGAAAAAAAAACAAGAAGTAAAAACAGAGCTAACTATACATTGAATTAAACATAACAAAGGAAAAGAGTGTGTAGCAGCCAAAGGAGCCAAGCTTTCGAGTTGGCTACTGCCACAGAGCGGTTACGAGTGGGTGGAGGTTATACAGTACTTATAAAAAACTATTTAAATTAGATAATTAAATAATTAAATAAATAGAGCTCAATAACAGATTAGAGTTGTTCAAGATGCCTGACTGTCAAGTAGAAAGAGTTCATATTCTTTTTTAAAACTATTCGAGGGGAGACACTTAATTTTCATAGGTGTTGCTTCCCAGGTCTGTGATGCCACTACACTGAACCTTGCTAGGCCATAATTAGTTCTGGAAAACGGTCTACACAGGTTTTGATTAGTGGCGTACCTAGTATTATAATTATGGACAGCTGAAGCCGGTTGAACTAAGTCATAGAGGGCAGGAGGTGTATCTTTTTTTTGATATTGAATTTTATGCACAAGAGCGCCAATTTTTAATTTAAAGATATTCTCTAACTTTAAGATTTCTAATAGTGCAAAGTACGGTGTGGGACTTTCTCTTTTGTTTACAGAGAAGATGCAACGAATAAAGTTATTTTGACTTACTTTGATTTTATTTAACTTAGTTTGGTATGCGTAACCCCAGCTCATTAATCCATTCGTTAGATACGGATATATGAGAGTATGGTACAGTTGTTTGAGTGTACTTATAGGCACATAATGTCCAAGCTTAGATAAAATTCCAATGTTTTTGTTATTTTGTTGTTAATGTGCTGGAGCTGAGCATCCCATTTTAGATGTTCATCAATGAAGACACCCAAATATTTAATCTGGGACTTTTGCTCTCTATTACAAGCTCTTATTGTGACATTTGTTTTCTTCTTAGGTGAAGTAATTATCATGTAATTAGTCTTCTTGAAGTTAATGGACAGCATATTTGCTGCACAGAATTTTAAGACCTTTCCAAGTTCTTCATTGACAACTGATTGTAACTGTTCTGGGTCTTTTGAAGAATAAAACATATTTGTATCATCTGCAAAAATCCTAAAAGTGAATTTCTTCGAAGACCTGGGCAAATCGTTAATATACAATAGAAACAGCAGGGACCTAGTGTGGAGCCTTGAGGTACACCACATGTGATGGTTTTCAGGCTAGATTCTGTATTACCAACTTTGACATATTGCTTACGATTAGTTATATAGCTTGAAAACCATGCATGGGGGAGTCCTCGGATGAGTTATTATCTTCAGTATTCATACACATACAGATAATATTGCGAATGGACAGACATTTACTAGTGAATCCCGTTAAGGTTGTTATGACATAACAAATAACCGAGTTGGAGACTTGTAGACTGTTGGAATTGGCTGTTATCAACTGGCGTGATTTTAAGTGATCCTTTCAGAATTACTGTCTCGTTTCTCGATATCTTTTTAATCAGGCGTCGAGAGGCACTCTACATAAGGCTGCTATCAGTGGAGAATACGAGATGGTCAAAAGACTTGTTGAGTGTGGCGAAGATGTGGATCAAAGAGATCAGGTTTTAGTCTTCTCCAGTTTATGTAATTTTTGTGCGAAGCCGTAAGTCCGACTTCTCGCTTTCGCTTGGCTTGGGGATTCTTACTTTCTTTTCTTGCCTTAGTAGACTACAAGTAGGCGCTTGTGTTGGGGTGTTGCGCCAGCTTTCGAGCTGGCAGGGTAAATGAAGCAAGAATTTGTATAAAACTCTTATCGCATACCTTGCGTTTGTGAATGAATTCATACCTGATTGGCCGGTGATGACAGACACCATTATTAAGACGGATAACATAACGGGAAAATTCACCAATTTCTTTGTTTTTTTTCCCGTACTTGGCAATTGTTTCAGGATACTCGGATTTACTTTTATTTACTATGTATGTAGAAAATGGACACGAAAGCGTCATATTATAGCTCACGATGTTGTAAATGGTTTTGACTGATAATGAAATGAGATCTTGCGCGAATGTTTCCTTTAAGGCTGGTTTTCACTAGAAACGGAGTCGGAGTCGAAATCAGGAGCGTAGAACTTTACCATCAAGTGAAGTCAGCGTTGTGATTCCGTTTACGACTCCGCCGCTTACGTTCAAGTGAAAACTAGATCGTCGGAATCGCAAGCAGAAGTACAAAAACTAAGCCAATCAAAAAGCATGGGAACGTGCATTGTAAGTGTTTCATCATTCCTCTTCTGCTTCCGACTCCGACAGTCTGGTTTTTACTTCATCGTAAGCGACGGAGTCATAAGCGGAATCGGAAGAAAATGGAAACTTTCTGATTCTCACGACTCCGATTGCGTCGCTCTTGCCTCTCCGCTTACGATTCCGACTCCGGCTTCGTCGCTAGTGAAAACCAGCCTTTAATAAGGACTATTGTTGACACTGAGGGACATTCCGACATTCTCTGCAGTAGTCGTCATCAAAAAACTCGTCTGATTGCTTTCACAAAGGAAGACGACTTCCTTACAGGTTGTAGAAACATCAGTTACTGTTACCAACAGTGCTATCCAGGACTACAATCACTCGGATGATCGTAAACTGTGAAGTTATGGAGGAAATGTTGCTAGACTAATTACGTTCTCAACATGAAAATAATGTTTAAGGCTAAGGCTAAGCACTGCAGGGAATGAAAAGTTTTTTATTTGTTTAGTGGTCGGTTTTTGTTTATTTTCGTTTGTTTGTAGTTGTTGTCGTTGTTTACTTTTATAGGATAGTAACCTGAGGATGTTCTGGACGGGATTTTCCTCACGTAAAAGAAGCAAGTCTCTGAATTTAATAAAAGAATTGGTCTAGACTACCAATTTCTGCTGGAAAGTGACCTGAGACATTGCATTTGAGCTCAGTTAGAGTGTTCCTCTTAGACTGTTTCATACAAACTAAAGAGGATAAAGTAAAGACGCTTTGGTTTTATTCTTAGCTTGGTCGTAAAAATTAGTCCAATAACAGCCTCTAAGTTTATTTTGCAAGACCATCGTTATAAACGGGACTAGCTGGCATCTTTCAACGCTATCTAACCGCTTTGTTTTTTCCTATATTCGGTAGATTTCTCAGACCCCTCTTCATCTTGCCTGTTGGTATGGACAGGAGTCAGTCGTTAAACTTTTGTTGAAACATGGTGCGAACGTCAACGCTGAAGACAGGGTGAGTTAGTAAATGTTTTATAAATCCAACAATACATTGCCGTGAGAACATGAACGTCTTCAGTCACCGTAATAGACCAATTCCAATATATTAAAATTCATACCTAGCTGCGAGGCTTGGGAGAAAACAAAAGAAATCATCTTAAGGCTCAGCAATGAATGACACATTTTTTTGTTTTATTCCCCCAAGAAATATATCGAAAATGGTCTATTTACTACAACTAGCAGACAACCACGGGACCGGGGGGGGGGGGGAGGTAACTCAATTTTTTTCCACCTAAGTTTCTTGACCCACTCCGCCTGCCAGTCTGACGTCACATAGTAACGGGCAAGAGCCTCGGGTCGCTTGTGCAAATTAGCAAGGGATACGACAGTTATTTGGATGAGCGAGGTCGAAGAAAAGCTAAGAAGCTAACAAATATCGCTATATATCGCTTATTGATCGAATGTGTGTGAGCTTTGTTGTTGCTATAATCTGCTTGTATAAACCGTTTTGATATTTTGTGTCCGTGATTGTATAATTTTGTTAATTTGTTTTGTGGGCCGTGTTACGGGATCGCCATCTATTTCACGGGACCGGCAAGGTTATCAAAACTTGAATCTTTCTTTTTCTCTAAAATAGGCGAGGCCTTGTCTCCAGCATAGGAGGTGCCATTCACAGATCACACATGTTTTTGTTTCATCTATTCTTTTGCTAATTAAACGGGCCTAACTTCATATCACCCCTTTCGAGTGTGGGCCTCCTGTTGATCTCGTACTTCTCCAACAAATTCAGTAAAGCTAGTTCGATCGATTATCTACATCGAGTCGGCCTGTTGAACCCGAAATTATGCGAAATAGCTCTGAAATACGCGCTTAAGCTAATTTTCCTCAAATGTATATTTGAATTCATGATAAATACAGCTCCAAAAGCTTCAAGAAGCGTCTATTGCAGAGAAAAATTGTTTTGATATGACAAAATTAATTTTTCAAATCATGTGTGTCACTGTGGTGCAGTGGTCAAGGAGTTGCTTGCACGTGCAGATAGACCGGGTTCGAGTCCTGGCGACGCTGTTTTCTGTTTCTTTGTACCGTTTCTTTTTCTGTTTGGTCTCTTTTTTTAACACTATTTTTCCTTTTGGCCTTTTTTTCTTTATTCTTACTGCAGACCCTGCTGGTCATGCACTTGGATCAATATATATTTTAAGCTTAAGTCCGGAGTTTTATTTTGGAAAAGGGATTTCAAAAGCTCCCGTCTGGCCAAGCTTACGACCATAAGCTGTCAAGACATGTCCCTCCTCTAAAACAGCTGAATTTTTTTTCAATGTTAGTTGACATCATAACAAACAACACACAGTACACCACAAACTGTACTAATTTACACCCAACACCCACCAGTGACCCACTGGCGAAAGTTAAACTTGCCTTTTGTACATCTTCTCAATCATCAATATTATTACCCTAAAAACTCCACTGGTTTTGCCCCAAAAGATAATTAAACGAAACTTTTTATTGGTTTTGGGGATTTAAATACAGAATGACAGGTGTATGCCCAATACAGTATTAAAATGCAGTGGACTCAATGCTCACAGGCTCTCACAAATACCTGTCATTTAGCTTCCTCTTTCAACGCTACAGCTAAGCGAACTTTGAGAGGAATGATATGGGGTTCCACTAGCTCTGAAGAGCTGAAAATACGCACAATGTAAAGTATAATACATCCTTTGATGAACCTACTATTGCTGTGTCTAAACTCGTAAATCTTGCTGTGCACTGGCCCTCAAAAGTGTGACCGGTCGGTATGATTGCCCATAAAATTTGCTCGACGATAGAAAGGAATCTTTAAATTTCAGTACACCACTGGACATTTCATTCCAAAAAAGTACTTAAGTCTAGTTATCTATGACAATAGAAACCTTAAAATCTCCATCTAAGAAATCGGAACAGTATTTCCGTGATAAAATCGAAATTTTCATCAGTCTCTTCGATGAACACTTTGCTCGCCATTTTGAAAGTAACTGACGCGAGACTTGACGTCATACTGGCAGGCGGACTGTACCACAGATTTCCTTGGGGACACCTCAAATCCCCCACCCCCCTGCACGGGACCTTTAATTTTGTGAATATTATGCACTTCCTTCAAGGATTTTCAGAGATCTTTTTACAAGAATGGTCCAAGTACGTTTGCCAGACTGCTTTTGGTGAGGTACTTTGCAAGTATTGAACAGAGGCAATGAGCTATGAATACCCCGTAATGTGATTGTGAATTAGAGATAGACCACCATACCGGGCCGGGGACTACTTCCCTCACTCTGGGTTTTTTAGCGTCGCACAGAATTTAGTATATGTGTGTGTAAGGGTTATGAGACGACGCTTAGGGTTTATCGTCCTTATCCGAGAAGACTAGCCGCTTTCTGAAAAAAAATGGTGGTAAGGGCTGAAATCCAATTTGCAGCAAAAACTATGGTGATGTCATTGTCTCGTGATATTTATTCCGATCGCCCAAAAATAATAATATATCGATTAAGCCAGGGCTAAAAGCGAAGCTCTCGATAGTATTTATAGTTTGTTCAAACAAAATATAAAATCGTGTAATGCTAAGCGGTGAAGGCAATGCCGGAGAACGGTGAAAAACAACAGTAGGTCTAATTAGCCAGAAAAGCAACTTTGCATGTGCAGCACACTTTTTTTTTGTACATTTCTTTGCTGTTGTTTTACACGACTACAACGCGAAACTTTCAGAAACTTCTTAGTTACACGTTTTATGGAGGAAATGTCGTACGTGTTCTCGTTCACTTTTTTTTCACTGCCGCTCATTTTCACCTTGCATTGGTGGCCGCTAGCATTTCCCATATTGACACCGCCGCAACAAAATCGCTGCAAAAGCGAAAAAACCCGGCCAGTGAAGAGAGCGAGGGAGTCTGGGGAGGATGAGGATTACGAAGCTCCGCCGCCTTCCCCCCTCCCCAGTGCACCACTCTGCTCGCTTCGCTCGCCGATTTCCTTCCAGTTTCATCCCGTTTTTTGCCTCTTCCCTCACTACGCAGCCTGGTCCCAGGCTAATATTATAATGGTTTTACAATAAAGATCAATTAAAGTTCAAAAGACTCAAAGATGGAAGGTATACCTGCAAAAAAAAAACTGGTTCCAGCCACTTAAATGTAGGTTTCCTTGTGGTGGTGTCTACCTTATGTAGACGTGCCTTAAATGACCCAATAAACGCTCAGGGCGTCTTTTTAATTTTAGGGGTCCAAGCGGGGGCGTTTAATAGAAAGGAGGCGTTTATTCTCGTAACTGTAACAAGCTCAACAAAACTTATATGCTTTCGGCGAAAATATTAAAAGAGTTTAAAAATAGGGGAATATCTACTCCATCGTTAGTCTATCCTTCCTTCAAACTTGACATAGAACAAGATGAAATACGCAAAGCCTCGTCAATCAAGCAACAAACTG